AAGAAACACAAAAGTAATAGGTTGCACCTGTTCATAACACGATACATACCCACGTGCACGCACCGACGGCGCGAATGAATGCAATGAGAGAAAAACGCCACCGTTTCAGTGCTGCCATATGAAGTTTTGGTAAAAGTATACATTAAGTCCGAGTGACTGTTAAAAGATAAAGTTTTCATATTCTTACATTATTTGACATCCTGAATCCAAAAATGATACTTATATGTCCTGGAAATAAAAGGAAAACATAATAAAACCTGACCTTACCTTACCTATTTACCTACAAACCTACAACCTAAAACCTACAAGCCTACCAACCTAAAACCTAAAACCTACAACCTAACCTAACCTAAAACCTTCAAACCTACAACCTAACCTAAAACCTAATTTTTTGCTGTCACATATTTGTATCAACAGCGTCACAATTGTCCACTCGGACCTAATATATACTAATACCGAAGTTTTTTGCAGCCATTTTCAGGGAAATGTGGGAACAGGGGTTAAAGGGTGGGGAGGGAATCAAGTATGATAATCAATGAAAGTGATGTCAAAAAACAGAACACCAAAAAAAGGTAAAAATCATAGCCTAACTCAACCTAACCTAACCTAACCTACTGATGTTTGCCTATTGAGGAAAAGGAAAAAAGATGCTAGCAGGAATAGATTGCAGGCAATGCTAAATCAAATATTTTAGGTTAAGTGGTTGTGCACCAGGCTTCAGGCTGAAATCAGTTAACCTTAAATATTTGATTAAGCATTGCCTGTAATCTCTCCTAAGGCATCGCCTTCGGCACTGCACTGCTCGGCCACGAGTATTTTTATGACATCACTTTCATAACAAAATCGAATAGCGTAATGTTTTCACTCAACCTTGGAGTTTATTCATTCGATCGTTTCCACCTGGCGCAAACCGTGCAAACGGCTGGTGGAGTGCGGAAGTGGCCGGTGGTGACCGTTGTTACCCCATTCGCCGCTAGGGGTGACCCGACCCGCGAGCTCGGTCGCGGGTCAGGGTCAGTCCGCGTTGGTGCTCACTGCTCAGGATCTGTATCGGGTGTAAGGCATTGTGAGGTGGTGGTGTGAACGGAGGACTGTCCGTGTAGGGCTCAGCGGACAATTGCATTTGGTTTATGTCAATACATGTCATGCTGGCGGCGAATGGGTGCAGTGTACCAAAATCATATTTTTGCTTGGGTGTCAGAGGGGAAAATTGCTGACCAAAAAAAAGGATGAGAGTGAAAATTGTCGGTCAGGTAAGGCCCAAAAAGAGTGGGAAAATGATCAAAAACATTAATCTATCTACAATTGTGACAGATGTAAAACAACCATTCCCGCAATTGCTCCTTCTCGGTGGGATTGGGAGTGGAAAATTGGGCTTGAAAACTGGAGGTGAGAGTGGAAAATGATTTGCATTTCGATGTCCTTTCCCACCCACATCTACAAATTTAGGGACACTGAATGGGTGTAACGTTGGTTTCCCGAAACGGTAAATATTTTACAGAAACTTGGATGCGCCATGAATAACTATCAGATATGAAATCAAGAGGTCAAAATACATCGTGTGGTATGTTTGTTATAATTACTTTGGCGATCGGACCTGATGTATATAAATACTTAACCGGGCCAAGAGCCTTGATCAAATCCCCCCAGGTGCCCTGTTTTCACTGTCATCCATCAAAGATGTTCCTTTTTTGTCCGGAAGAGCGTATTGTAGGGGAATACGCCACTTGTAGAAGAATAATGAGAATGCAGCCACCCGTTACCGGTTGCAGAGGCTAAGGTCAAGCTCAGTCAATCAGTACCTACTACCTATGCAGTTGCCTTTGAACTTGACTCGAGGACTGTTTGAAACTGAAAGTGAAAAGGGTGAAGACCAAAGTAAGAGCAAAATTCTTTTCGAACAGAGTGGTCCCTCTTTGGAACAGCCTCCCATCAGCAGTGGTAGAGGCAGAAACAACAAATGCATTCAAGAGCTGGCTTGATAGGTTGTGAATCTGGTACCAGTGACGCTTTCCTACTTTCTCTCTGATCCTTATATCCAAGTATCTATGATGTGGGCACCGAATAGCCTGCCTAAAACAGCCCACTATCACTAAACTTAACTTCATGATATGATTGGTCAATGTTGTTTTAGCCTCAACCTTTTCAACCGATCACCAATTTAGGTACTTTCAGTGTGACAGATCATCAAGTAAGAAGTAAATCACATGATATCCTTTGACCTCATGATTTCATATCTGATAATTATTCATGGCACAAACAAGTGTGCTCCAGCTCAATATGCTCTACAATATGGAAAGTCACAAACTGCTTGTGGCAAAGCAGTGCAGTGCCAAAGGAAATGTTTTAGGAGAGATTACAGGCAATGGCCTGAAGCCAGATACACAACCACTTAACCTAAAAATATTTGACTTACAATTGCTTGCTTGCAGTTGGTTGTTTTCAGGAAGCAAAGTGTCTGTTTCAGCATTTCGGTGCTAGATTATTATGTTACAGCAAATTGCAGGATCGGACGGTGCTCGTACGGTAGCGATGGGGCCTCGCTTCCACTCACATGGCTTAATGTGCCCTTGAGAGCCCGGCACTGCTGCAGGGGCTGCTGACAAAGGAAATACAAGTGCCATGCGGGGACCTCAGACCATCTTGTCCCAGCGGCTGATGAAGCTTCTGAACTAGGCCCGGAACGGAGGGCATGAAACTTCTGCAGGATATACCTAGTGGCCGCATTTCCGCAATCTGCTGGGACCCATGTGAGCTCTCGTGGCTCCACAGTCTGCTGCCGAGTCAGGAGATTGAGTCTGATTCGGTAGTACGTAACAGAATAGTTTCTTCGGTCCACCAATCCTAGTAGCCAAAAAGGGATAATATCGACATCAGACAGGAGCCCCAGTATGACGGCCTCGTCACAGTACCACAGCAGATAGCTGCTAGGCGAATGTCACTAGCGCTATCGTCACTTACTTCATAGGATTATCAGTAAACGCTGTGCTGGGCTGTGACTGACCTCCCGCTCCCCTTGTGTCGCCAGGTGACCAAGGTGCTGGGTCGCACCGGCTCACAGGGCCAGTGCACCCAGGTGCGCGTCGAGTTCATGGACGAGACGAACCGCGCCATCATCCGCAACGTCAAGGGACCGGTGCGTGAGGGCGACATCATCACCCTACTCGAGTCGGAGCGAGAGGCCAGGAGGCTCAGATGAGGGGTGAGTGCAGAGGCGCGGTGGGACTGGATGGTGAAGGTGTGTCAGGGGGAGAGAGAGAGAGAGAGAGAGAGAGAGAGAGAGAGAGAGAGAGAGAGAGAGAGAGAGAGAGAGAGAGAGAGAGAGAGAGAGAGAGAGAGAGAGAGAGAGAGAGAGAGAGAGAGAGAGAGAGAGAGAGAGAGAGAGAGAGAGAGAGAGAGAGAGAGAGAGAGAGGAGAGAGAGAGAGAGAGAGAGAGAGAGAGAGAGAGAGAGAGAGAGAGAGAGAGAGAGAGAGAGAGAGAGAGAGAGAGAGAGAGAGAGAGAGAGAGAGAGAGAGAGAGAGAGAGAGAGAGAGAGAGAGAGAGAGAGAGAGAGAGAGAGAGAGAGAGAGAGAGAGAGAGAGGAGAGAGAGAGAGAGAGAGAGAGAGAGAGAGAGAGAGAGAGAGAGAGAGAGAGAGAGAGAGAGAGAGAGAGAGAGAGAGAGAGAGAGAGAGAGAGAGAGAGAGAGAGAGAGAGAGAGAGAGACACCAGGAGGCTCAGATGAGGGGTGAGTGCAAGCGCGACGGGGGGGGGGGGGGTATTAATTATAGTTGACTGTTCTGTATTTGTTTGGTATATTTTGAGGAAAGCATGTGCGCGTAGGTACTCAGGCGTCGTTAATGTTTTCAAAATCGTTTGACTCACATTGGTTTTAAAGGGACCCTCCCACCTTAACATTAGATTTGAGTTGATATAGCCAAAATGGGGTCCCTGGCTCACAATTACCGGTTTCGGCACTCACAACATCGAGAAATGCCTTAAATCGGAAATATTGAATTTCAAAATTGCAGCATTTTGATTCAGAGTGGCTAATGCATAGGAATACCCCTCTGAATGTGTGACGTCAGCGCAGATATCTAACGATTTTTAAATGTTTGACTAAAACGTTTTGTAGCACGCGGTGGTATATGCTGCTTTGCGCGCAACAAGTGCCGCACTTTCAGCTGCCAAACTATTGCTTCCAAATAAAGTCGCTAGGAACAGCGGAGATCCCAAAAAGTAAGCAAAAGTAAAAGTCCAGTATCTTGAAAACCGGTGAATATTTTTCGGTGAAATTTGGTAGATATTCGTTTTCGCTCTTTCTGAACCGAGCGACATCACTTTCATGCCAATTCATAAACTTTTTTGAAGGTGGGAGTGTCCCTTTAATGGGCTGTCTCGACGTCGTCATTGGTCCATATCCAGCTATTATTTTCATCGAAGACTGGATTCTATGCCTTCCGCTCTGCTGTCGTTGCACCATAACGGCGAAAAAGCAAAAGCAGAGGGTTCAGATTTGTTTGCTTTCACCATGTCTGAGCGGCGTTCAGCGTAATTGACAGTTGTTTTCTTTTGTTCCAGGTGTTTTTGATCGTGAAACTACATTGAACCTTGTGGAAAGATGAGATAATACACGCGTCATCCTCTCATCACCCGATCGAGTTTGCTTACGAGGGCTGTCTGAGATGGGATCCTGGTGGGATCGACTGTAGAAATGCCGGGAAGGGTTTCTGGCAGAAACCTTTGAAACACGTCTGGTATCGCTTCGCCATACTCCACGATATTTGAAGTCAAATGTGGGGTGCTGGTGATTCATGCGGTATCTGCATACAGTGGTCACTTGAATGCATGTCAATGATAGTTAATCGTGTTCGCCACACCCTATACAGATAATCTCCCATCATTTGTCGATTGGGACAGAATATGGCTCGAAATTCTGCCACAGCACAGTTTTATGCGTCGTTCCCTACATCGGCTGTACGCGTCAACTCGATCGTGAAGAAGAAACCAGAAACGCACCGGTGGAAGAGTAGTAATTCAATGCATTTAAACCCGCACTCCATGACAGAGACACTTCAAATCGCAGACGTAAGCGGACGGTTTGCTGGACTGGCGTGCAGGGGCAGCGGCGGATCCAGCTGCAAATATATCCGCATACCACACTCCTCGTACACATCAACACCTTAGAATAGCGGCTTGAAGTGACCCTTAACGGACACGAGGCAGTACAGCGGATAATGTATACCCAATCGAATTCCACAACCGCTCTCGCCGCCGCGCCACGATAGCGGATCGCTGCGGGTCGGTCTCGGAGTAGCGATGGAATATAGATGTCGCCACCTGCTGCGTCAGTCCGTAGTTCCCTGATATAGATGTCGCTACGCGCGCCGTCACCGCTCGTCCACCTGATAGCGGCCGAGGAACACAGTTCGGAACGGCGAGTCCCGGGGCAGCACGATGAAGCCGGGGACGCCGCCCTTCACCACGTACCTGCCAGACAGGAGGGGAGACGAGAAATGGTAGTGTCAACAGCAGAGCACCTGGTGCAGTCACGGAGCCTAGCATTTCGCAATCACATAAATATCAATGGAGCCCAGCGTGTCGCACTTTGGGATTTGTTTGATAAACCCCTCTTGGTCACGGTCATACAAACCCTCAACATGCAGCCTACCTCCTTAGGACAGTACTCTACATAATGTACTCTGTATAATGCATACCATCCATCGTTTCTCCCATCCCCTCCCTCTCAGAGCTCTGCCCGTCCGCCCTCTTTCCCGTCCCCGTCTCACCGTTTATCCGCCAGTACGTCCCGTATGCGGCTGTCTGTGCGGACCCGCACCACGCGGGTCTCCAGGCCGTCCTCGTACTCGTAGTAGACCTCGAGCCGGTCGGGCCGGTACGCGCCGTCCGTGTCCCACTCCGGGGAGCCGCCGCCGTCGGCGCCAAACATGGCCTCCAGGTGACCCGATATCCTGCGGAGGGGGAGGGTTACAGGAGAATCAACATAAAGCAGCAGAGCCATGATAGATAAGCAGGTTGAAAATGATGCAATGCTACATGGCATCTGCTTTATTACGAATAATATAACAGATAATGAAGACGGATAAGTCTGGCGATTTCAGAAACCGTGTAGACTTCTGACCTTGTTAATAGGATTTAGGCGATACCCACTACGAACGTTCCATTCCTTTCCAGTCATCGCTTACTTTTTGACCGTTACATCTCCATGCGCAACGAAATCACATCGGCGAATATACTTGGCAGGCACAGGAACGTTTAGTACCGTACTTCGCCGTCGAGAGACGCCACACTCGCACAGACAGCCCATCCACGGCACCGAGAAACTGTTCACTGTCTCGACCAGTTCCCCGACTTCTCCAGAGCCTACGATGTGATCGACCACCAGATGCTGCGTCTGAAGATGCTGCACCGACTCCCACGGTGTTACGCAACGTGGATCTTCCACTTCCTGCGAGACCGACGTGCATGCGCGGAGGTCAATGGCGTCCGCAGCAGCAGCCGTCCCTTCCGAGCGGGCCTCCCCCAGGGCTCCGTGCTCGCCCCGACCCTGTTCACCCCGTGGTCGGCGGAATTGGTGGAGGAGCTCCGGAAGGTTGACGGCACATCGATCTACATGTACGCCGACGACACCGCCACCCTCAGCTCCGGAGCGACCATTGCGCAAGCGATGGTACGCGCTCAGAGAGCTGCAGACGTGATGGCGGCCTGGGCGCGGAAGTGGAAGATGCGGCTGGCGGGCAGCAAGACGCAGGTCCTGGTACTGTCCCAACGGCACGAAGATGCCCGCGACATCGTGCTGAGGGTGGACGGCACGGCAGTCAAGGGCACCCGACACCTCCATCTGCTCGGCGTGACCTTTGACTGACTGCTCCACTTCGGGGAACACTGCTCTCGTCTCCGCCGCAAGGTGAAGCCGCGTGTGGCCCAGCTGAGGAAGCTGACGGCGCGCTCGTGGGGCCTGCAAGAGCCGCAGCTGCGAACCGTCGCCAACGGTTACGTCCGTGGTGCACTCGAGTACGCGGCGGCGGCATGGCTCCCGGCGGCGTCGGAGTCGCACGTGGAGCTGCTTGAGAGGGAGATGCGTGCCACAGCGCGCGTCGTGACCGGCTGCCCGATCAGCACGCCGAGAGACCCGCTGATGGCGGAGGCCGGCATGGTCCCGGTCCGGGCGCGCAGGGAGGCGTTGGCCGTCAGGCTGACCGCCACTGCGGCGTCGCAGAGGACCGATGACCCTCTCCGTGAGGTAGCAGCGAGGACAGCCCCCCCGACGACTGCGGACCACCACCGGCTGGCGTGATGTGGGACGGGAGGCCCTCATCCGGCTTGGTCTTCAGGAGACACCCGTGGAGGAGCGACTACACATCACCCTCCCTCCATGGTCGGACTGTTCGGGGGTGGCGATCCGGCTGGACGTCGGCGCGGCTATTAGCAGGGAGGCACGCGACGAGGTCCGCCGGGCGGCGGCCGAAGAACACCTCGCGACCCTGCCAGACCAGGCGACCTGGATCTGGAGCGACGGCTCGGCAGAGGGCGGTGTCGCGTCCGGGGGCAGTGGTGCCCTGATCACCCTGCCCTCTGGAGAAGAGAGGACGACCCGGACGCCGGCCGGCGCCGTCTGCAGTAGCACCCGCGCCGAGCTGGTGGCGATGCGTGCCGCTCTGGAGGAGGTGCAGCAGCTGGAGGACGCAACGTCTGCGACCCCGCTGGTGCTCTGCACCGACTCCCAGGCTGCGCTCGCCACGCTCGCGACGGGCGCCGGAGAACAGCGGACGACGCTGGGAGCCGAGATATGGCGCCTGCTCCTGGCGGCCCCGGACAGACCGACTTGGCTGCAGTGGGTCCCGGCCCACTGTGGCCTCCCAGGCAACGAACGGGCGGACGAGCTGGCCAAGGAGGCCTCCAGCTTACCACAGGCAGTCGCGCCTGTGGACGTCCGCAGCCTCACTAAAGCAGTCGGCCGCGCCGCCTCCAAGGCCTGGCGAGATCGCTGGCCCGACAGCTTCTTCAGGCGGATTATGAGAGACAGGTTCCCGACACCTGTCCTCAACGAGACGAGGGAAGACGCGGTGAATGTGCACCAGCTTCGAGCAGGCCACTGGGGGCTCTCGACGAGCTACCTGCACAGGATCGGCCGTCGCCCAACACCGACCTGCCAGCAGTGCGAGGACCTGAAGTGCCCGGCGGCACTGTGTCTGGTCTGCCGAGAGGAGGCCGACACGCCGGAGCACGTGCTGCTGCACTGCCCCTGCCTGGCGGGCAAGCGACTACGCCTGTTCGGGACCATACATCCCGATGCGACTCGGCTGCGGGACGGCGGGGCCGTGGCGGCGCTGGCCCGCGGCTTCCTCCGCTACCGAGAGCCTGCGGGCTACGGCCGGCCCGCGGGGAAACAACAACAACAACAACAACCAGTTCCCCGGCCAATACTCACGGGTCGGTGTCGAGCGCCGCGCGCACCAGGTCACTCTGCGAGTGCTCCGGGTAGAGGAACATGAGTGGCCAGCTGAGGTCTCCCGAGTCGGTGAGCTGGACGCCCGTCTCCAGACCGGGCACCTGGGGGACCAGCAGCTCGGGCCGCACCGCCGCGCCGCTCACTGACGGGGCGGGGTAGATGGGGGACGTCAGAGGGTGCGGGGAAAGATACACGAACACTGATGGATCCTAACAGTCATGCAGTGATACTGGCAATGTTCTGTTCAGTCAAATACAGGGGGATACAGACACTGAGGGATTCAGACAGTACAGAAACAACGGTAAATTTTTGTTCAGTCAGAACAAACTAGCAGTGACACGGTTTACATGCCTGATCGACCGCTAGCCAACATCGATGTTCGCCATTGGAATACATATATGCAGTCGACGAAGTGAATGTGTAAAACCGGATATAGGAAGACCGAAGACTTCCCGTCACACAAACTGGAATGACATCACATCTGATCCCAAGATATGATCAATAGTTTGTCCGACCGTTAGGAAGGCAGCATTGAGCCCCTCCCATCATTCACGGATTCGGAGATGACGCTATCCGTCCGTGTCACCGAGTCACTGATGTCTCATACCGCGTACCTGGTTTTCCCTCCTCAGACAGCACGGAGACGCCCCTCTCAGCCAGGGCGGCCAGCAGTCGATCATCGGCGGCCTTCTGCTTCCGCTCCTTCAGCGCGGCCTGACGACGGTTACGCTCCTCCACGCGCTGCAATGCCGTCGGCCGGGAAAGAAGTCAGACGCGGATAAGACAGACGGGTGGGAGTGGAACAAAGCAACCGCCACATGGGATAGCTGGGACTGGTGAAGCGGGTGGCACTGGGAGAGGGGACAGAGAGACGCACGTTACCCGAAATGGCGTGACAAACCAGTCCTCCAGGCGTGATTCAAATAAGCCAAAAAGGTTCTAAAACTTCAAAATTTCATGGGTCAATATTATAAATTTCACAGCGCGCATTTGGCATCCCATTCTGCATCAAGCGAGGTCGTCTTATTAGCTACATCGAAGTCGAACAAAGGCAACTATAAATGCATTATCCTTGCCAGTTGTCGGGTTGGATTTACCCCCACCCCTCTCCATCCCTCCCCTTTGGCGGCGGTACCGAGACGGGCCGGCCGGCCGGGCGGGCGGGCGAAGGGACACAGGGGGTACCGACTGCCCCGGGTAGGGGGCACACATACTTCACACAGGGGACTGCCCTGACCGACGCCGGACCTAGCCACTGCGCCCGCTGACTTCGCGAGTGACACGAGTGACACAGCCTCTCAGTGCGGCCGACAGTGTGGCGTGTGCTTCTGCCTGCCGTCTTCTCCGCACCCCAACCGACCCCACACTATGGCCGAGAGCCGGTTCCAGCCGCCCAGCCGGGACAAGAGACGGCCCCTGGTACGGCCGCTATATAGTGCCTCGCGACCGCTGTGGCCGCTCAGGGGTGCAGATACGACATTCCCATCGCACTCTGACGTCTCCCGGTGGGGAGCGCTTTCCACGCAGTTCCGACCGATGATTGACGACCGACCGAGGAGCGACAGCGACGGTTCGTTCCAGACAAAAGGTGAGTCGAGACGACGGTGCGGCGCTTATAACTCCGGTCCCGGGCTGACGTATGGTGGGACGAACGGGAAACCGGGAGGCGCATGCCGACGCATCACTCTCACCGTCAGATTTGGACGTTTGGGGCACATTTGAGACTAGCACTAGTGTGACTGACGATTTGTCGCAACTCACCATATATTTCTTAATGGACTGCGCCATCCCTGGTATGCTTTGCTGGGCTTACATAAAAATAGCATGATTCGTCATTTTCTAATAAGCTATGTGTAAATGAACGCATACAAGTGCCATTTTAAATACAGAGTTTATGTGAGAAAAGCATTTAAACTTATGCATCTGCGGCACTTGAAGTACCTTTTTACCCGCGCCCCACTGGGCACAGTGATGCAAATGGGGTTCACGAGTGGCCATAAATACGAAAAAGGCCCAAAATTCAAGTTCACTTAATCGAATAAATCGTAATATGGTCAGTCAGGCAAATGTTTGGGGTGTCTGTAAAAGTATGATTTTAATGTTTTTGTCAAAACCGGCCTCGTGAATGATTGTCAGAAGTCGAGACATTTTCGATGTCGTAAAATGACTGTCAGGTACTTGAAATTCAAGTGCCGCTAGCGTGCGTTCATGTCACACAAACTGCAAAAATTATACATGAAAATGATCCCCGAAACCTGCTGCTTCTAATGCCACGTCATAAAAAGCCGTATCTATTTTGGTTTAGCGGTGAGCTAACCATTTGTAATAATGTTGCAAACGCAGTTTTTTACCAAAAATATTTGCTTTCAATTCACCTACAGCACTTCACCCAGTGTGTGCCCGTTAGTGCACCATATCATAGCATTCCCTAATCACTTCTGAGTCGCATAGTGAAAGAATTAAGGCGCTAGCACAGGGCTGACCGGCGCTACATAAGTTTTCGTCCGGCACGGTCGGGTGCCGCGGCGCAGCGGGCGGCCCGGGCGGCCGCGCCGCCGCGCCGCCGCGCCCGGACGCCGCGCGACGGCACCCACCCGCCCACTGCGCGCCCACTGCGGCGCCCGACCGCCCGGACAAAAACCTCTGTAGCGCCGGTCAGCCCTGTGCTAGCACCTTAATTCTTTCACGATGCGACTCAGAAATTATTAGGGAAGGCTATGGTATGGTGGACTAACGGGCACACACTGTGTTAAGTGCTGTAGGTGAATCGAAAGCATTTTTTTCTTAGTACAAAACTGCGATTGCAACATGATGATAAATAGTCAGATTACCGCCAAAGCGAATGAGATACGGCTTTTTGTGACCCGGCATTAGAAGCAGAAGGCTTTGGGGATCATTCCCATGCATATTTTTTCAATTTGTACGAAATGAACGCAAACCAGCGGCGTTTGAACTTGCGAGTGTCTGACCGTCATTTTACGACCTAGAAATTGTCACGACTTCTGACGATTATACACGAGGCCGGTTTTGACAAAAACATGAAAACCATGTGATTTCAGATGCCCCAAACATTTGTCTACTCGGCCATATCGCAATTAACTCGATTTGGTAAACTTGACTTTTGGGTATTTATGGCCACTCGTGAGTCGTGAACCTCATTTGCATCACTGTGCTGGGGTCTGCGTATAACACGCCCTGCTGGGGGGGGGGGGGGTATTCATAGCCCCCCTCCTAACTCCGAAACTACTGGGCCGATCGTCAAAATTCAAACGGCGTCTGATAGCCCCGGAAAAACTGTCGAACGAAACCTAATTTCATTGACCTCAAGGTCACCGATGACGTCACAGGTCAGGTCAAAGTAAAAATTATTAGCATTTTGGCTTGTTCACGTTTTGGGCTCTGGCCGCCGTCCTACAAGTCAGATCAGGCTCATTTTTGGTTCACACACTCGTGAACAGATGCTCTAGATACCCTGAGGGTACCAAACTTGTACTTTGATTTTCAGGCCAAGGTCAGGTCATCACAAGTCACGAAAATATTATATCATGCGTCGGTCACGTGACACATGTTTTATGGTCCATTTAGGCCAAAGATTTCGAATTTGATGTCGTCTGTGTCATTCGAGGTCATTTTGAGTCGAATTTAGCTTAGGTCAGGTCACTTTCAGGTCAAAAAAGGTCAAATTTTGAAGTTATAATTTTTCAACAGAAAAGGTGTCTATTGGATGCAGTTTGAGCTCAGGAACACGATGGTGCTATTTATATTGGCGTACGATGTCAAATACGTGGTGAAAAATTGATTTGAAAAATTAATAATTGTGAATTTTTTGCAATAATGCGTATAACTTGGCCATTTTTGAAGATATTTAGCTGAAACTTGCTAGAGTTAGTCATAATAACGCGTTCTATCACATATATTCCTGTTTTTTTCGAAAAGTCAAAAAATGTAAAAATGTAAATTGTGAATTTTATTATATAAAATTTTCGAAATTTTCAATATTTCGAAAATCCGAGATAGCAGTTTGATAGCGCAGTCTATTCTGAGTCCTCTCATGCAAAGAAATTGGATCTAGCTTAAAAACTGAGCCCTTGGGAGCGATTGCAGTGGTTCGATGTTTTGCGTCGAAATCGGCCGAACATGACGTCACTCCGACGTCATTTTCGGCCGACCTATGGTAGCTACGAAGTTCAAATTTTGACACAATGTGTCAAATTGATGCAGCCAAAGGTACTGAAAGTTTGGCGTCGATACGTCAAGCGGTTTGGAAGTTATTGCAGAAAAACGGGAGGGGGGCTATAAATAGCCCCCCCCCCCCAGTGGGGCACGGGTTAAACTGGTCGCGACCGTTCAATATGGCGGGACTGCGACCCTATGTGCGACAAAGGACGGGGGCGCCACCCTCCCCCTTCTCCCGCCCTCCCCTTCCCTCCCTCCCCTCCCACGCCGCCTCAGGCGCCGGTATCTCAGTCGCTTTAAGAGAACACTCCCCGCCCCCTCCCCCAGTGACCGGCTGTGCGGGCGGTGGTATCATTAATTAACCCTTTGCCGGTAATCCCAGGGGTATCCCAGGTAGCGGTCCCGGGGAGGGGGGGGGGGGGGGGTCCGAGGTCGGAAACATGAGCCCGGAGTTATGAGCAGCTGATGTCATGAGATATGTCAGTTTGGGTGGCCGTGGCTGTCGCTAACTTACTGATATGACCGATCCCCACCTGACCAAGAAGCACAGATTCACAACTGATCGAACGAAAACGGCACGATCGACGTGCACTAGCTCCAGCTTCGCATGAGATCCGCTCCTCTTCTCCGATGGCGCCCGCCGGTCACTGGTAGCAGCCGTCACACTACTTTCCTACAGCGCCGCTTTTCGTATCTGATGATAGGCCCTGTCGTCCTAGCTAATCGGCTAAACGATTCATATAAACTGCCCCTTATATGAACTGGGCAGTGGGAAGTCAACAGTCACCCACCCCGGGCACGCTGGACAATCACCTCAACTTTGCTGGGCAGTGGGCAGTCACCTCCCCTCTATTTCTTCTTGGTCAGTCAACAGTCCCCTGTGGCTGCAATCTCACCTGCTGGGCGGTGGCGGCGTGGTGCAGCCGCACCAGTTCCGCATGTGTGCTGTCCACGGCCAGACCTCGGTCACACCAGGACAGAGCCTCGGCCGAGCGGCCCAGTTTGGTGCAGCACTGTACCGCCCGCAGAATGGCCTTCATGTGACCCGGGGTCAGCCGCACCGCGCGCTCGCAGTCCCGCAGTGATGACCTTAAAGGGGAGAGGTGGGGTCAAACGAGATGACAACGGCAGAGAGACGGTATCACTCGCAATGGAGGAGGGCAGAATACACGGAATGAGGAACTATCATTTAGCTGTTGTTTTAGCCAGTTTACTTCCAACAGCCTTAGCGAATAATCTTATCTAAATATGGCATTTCGAGAGGAAGAAAAACGAGATTATTATTCTCTGGTCGAGACGAGGGCATATTTTCAAAGTCTGGCAGATGAGATAGCAGGCTAAGTGATCTTGGAGACCCGAGCCGTATGGTTAGGTATGCTCGTGAGCAGTTAAAGCAAACGGTTAAGCCCACGAGTGAGCGGGCCGACCGGCCGACCGACCTGAAGTTTCCCAAGTGGAAGTTGGCTGCTGCCCGGTTGGTAAGAAGCTGCGTGATCAGCTCGATGTTTGGATGCCGCTTGCGCAGGCCCTCGGTATAGTTGAGCACCGCGTGCTTGTACTTCTTCACCTTGAAGCACAGGTTGCCGTCCTCCTTGTATGTGGAAGCCAGCTCTGCGGGAAGTCAGGTCACGGAGTAGTGTCAAGGCGACGAATTGAAACCAAAGGCGTAACGTGATAAAATGGGTATACCCGCGTATATCCGTTAAAATACCTACAAAAATACCCTCCCGACCGCAGCCCGCAAGGAACTGAGAAATACAAAAGTAAGGCGCACTTGATGTTGGCGATTAGCTAAAGGCCAATACAAAGGCGATCTTATTCGGAACGTTTCACATCCCGGTGAATGACTAGGGACATAAACTATACGTATCATGTTCCCTTATGCAAAATCCTGATGCGCGATTGATGAAGAAAAGCTTTATACAAAAATGTGGAATGTTGCACACCACCATTACACTAAGGCCATTAGACTACACACTAATGGCCACTATAGGGTATAACATGTTTTTTATGTTTGCATGCAAACGATCACGGAACGTTTGATCGCGGCTGAATCGCTATTTTCCCTAGGCCAAATAAACCTTTAGTTGTCGATCCAACTAGTCCGGTTCGGACACCCACCAGTCGGTGATTTCCATTCCACAAGACCCAGCGGTTCCCACCAGTCCAGGTGGGGACCCTCCAGGTACCCCTCCCCCCGATGCGTCATCCGGTCGGGCGTTTCGCCACGTGTGGCAGCACGTCAGCCGATGACGTCCACCGAGCCAGCGTGGACGGTCGGCTGCGGCCAAACCGACGAGCGTCACAACTCACATCCCAGTTACTCAGCCCTGCCGCCTCAGCAGCGGCCAAAACGGCCCCCGGGAGCGCCGGCCCGTCCAGCTGAGCCCCGCCGGCTGACAGCTGACCCTCCCCTTCCCCCCTGCTCCGGCCCTCCCCAGCACAACACAGAAACGGCCGCAGCGGCCGCTCAACAGACGAGCACGTTACGTCAGTGGCCGGCCCGAGTTGGCGCCGCACTCCGCGCTAACGTGCGCGGCGGCAGACAGTGCGGCGACTCGGCACGGGCCGCGGCGGTACTGTGTGAGACAGCGCGATACGCGGTGCGCCGAGATACCGCGCCGCCGAGATGTTTGTCGTGTCGGCTTTGTTCGGACGCAAGTCCGCCGTCCGCCGTCCGCAGGAGCAGACAGCGCCGGACAGCCACCGTGAGTGATCACCGGCGTGGCGTGACCCGAGACACGGAGACAGTGACACCGTGACCTGTGACCTTGATAGAGTGACACCGTGACCCTGATACCGTGACCCTGTGACCCTGATACCGTGACCTATGGCCCTGGTATCCGAGACCTGTGATCCTGATACAGTTAATACATTATCGTGTACCGTATACCCGATAACGTAAAACTGTGACCTTTGGGTTACGGTGACCCTGAGACTATCGGTGACCTTGGACAGAATTACAATGACCCAGAGATCTGATACGGTGACACCGTGGCTCCTATATTACTGACCCTTGAATCTCGTGTGCCTAGATCCTGATACGGAGGACCTTTTACCCTGTGACGGCATTTTCACGACATTTTCGATAATAGGTACCGATACCTATGGAGCATAATCACCGTGATCGTAACTTTGGAGCACCGGTAACGTGAGATGCGCTGATGCAATGAAGCTGTAACTACGTGACATATTCCACGGTGACTTCGTGATCCTTGTGCACTTGTGCAGTGACCATAGCCACCACCCGTCCCGTGACCTGTAATCCCGGGGTCTTGTGCCGCTTCTCTGCGCCCCTGAGGAGCCCCCTGGAGCACTGTGAGGCCAATTACCGAGGATCATGGGCTACGCCGTTGTTCGCACGTGGCTGGTTGATGGTAAACAATTCCGTATCCGAGTCGCATTCCAATATTTACCTAGGAATTCAGAAGTGGCTTAACAATTGTAAATGTTTATCCCGAAACGTGCCGCTAAAAAGGTTAATTTAGCGACGAAAATCATAAAAAGTGCGCTCTCTCATGTGTCTACTATTTTACAACTATTTCTGCTCGGTAGGTATATAAACAATCACAAATCGTGATCGCACGGTATTCCTGCAAATGATCGCAAGATTTACCACAAATAGTGGAACCAGCAAATGTTACGGTAGGCGTTGGACTCAAAGTGCGTTGAAACCACTTGTCATAGCGGCAATAGTCCAGCATCGGCGATATTGAACCTTCAACAGTCAGAATTTAGACTTCAACTGCCGTCACTGAACCTCTAATGATGTCCACTGAACCCCAAACAATCTCCACAAAACCCCAGAAGGCAGAAACAGGAGAGAGTGAGCCTCAGGCAAAAGAACAGGTGCCGCCCTCTCGATCTAATGCAGCCCGCTTGATGACGTCACCTCGCCCGGGCGGCGTCTGCCAGCGGGCGCCGAGCCATCCACGTCACAAACAAATAGCGACCGATGAAGCGACTCGAACTGGGCTCTCACAACCAGTTGGGGCAATGTTTACTTTTATTTAGTGGACTGCATAGTAACATTATTACTGACACAAGCTTAGGTTAGGTTACCTGTATGGTTACAAGCATATAACCTATGTTTTAACTTCACACTGCAGTTTCCAAAAATAAATGCCCATTGTTTAACAAAAAAAAAAAAATGGGAAGGACGGTTGACCTGGAATCAACACCACCAGGGACCTACCTTCCTCAGTGTGGAGGCTGGGATCATATTTGAGCGCCTGAAGACCTTGAATCAGGGGAGGCAGCTCCTCTCCATCTTCAAATGGCTTGCTCCTGAAGAAAGGATGCTCCTGCATTTCCTAAAATGTCAGCATGACTGGTCAGTTGTAATGAAATAAAATGAGACAATATCATTCATCATTGCAAGTTATCATCACTAAAACTTACTATTGGCATTGAATGCACAATTACAGGACTAAACAAGAAAACAACTCTAAAAAAAAAAGAAATCAAGCTTGCAGTACCTTTTCCCATGTTTCTTCCTTCCAGCCATCTTTATATTGACTCTTTTGGAGACCTTCAATAAACTGATCTAATTCCTCATCCAAAGTCTTGGTCAGCTTGTCTCTTTCTGCATCTGTCATCACCTTTGGCTGGTGTGGCTGCTCAGCCATGTCTGAAACTGTTGACTGTTTTTAGAGTTCAGTTTATTGCACACTGCACATCAATGCTCACAGTTCACACTGCCTACACTGATAAAACTTTTGTATCTTCTGGGCATCAACCTGAATCTTACCAATAACAACAATCAATTTACAAAGCATTCCATGAGGATCACAAAAAAGTTATTCATATTTGTGAAAATTCATTAAATCACAAAACCCAATTTATTTATAAATAAAGTCAACCATTCATAAGTTATGTTTAAGTAACAACAGACAACATTGACCATTTCTGCCTATCAGCCACACTCATGCACAACATTTGGATCATGCACCTAATTTCCAGTGCAGTAAGGTATCTAACATCATCAGTCATCACAGCACCATAGAATTAGAATCAAGACACAAAACATATTTTGCACCCTGTATTTTTTTCTTTTGGGGGGGGGGGAGCTGGTTTGCAACTCCAGCATTTTGATAAAGACATCCATGAACAGTTAAAAGAAGCTCAATCACTGGGACTACAAAATTTGGGTGCAAATTGCCCGCCCACCTTTAGTTAGTATGTTCTACAAATTGGTTGTTTTAGTACAACTTCACACTTCTTTCATCAACATAATAATATAATTTAGCTCTTTATGGGAAATATATCACTTTTAACTTGGGGTTTTGAAATGGAATAGCAGTTTTGTAGCTTGAGCTGATACTAGCACAAATCAGCTTTTAAAGCTGAATGATCACCATAGGGAAAGATTGAGATATTCCATTTCTTGTTCCAAAATCATTCCCTTATGCAGGATGAGGAATTTTTTTGTTTTGAGTTTTTTAGATGCGTGACGTGTATTCTTGCTCCGCAGTGAAATGTTTTGCATACCACAACCTTTTTTTTAAATATTTTTTTATTATTATTATAAATTTAGTCCGAACCTTATGATGGGAAGGATTCACAAGGACAGAGCCACCGCTAAGCGAAGCTTGTTGCGGTGACCCCAGTGCTGGAAATGAGGCCGCTTTCTGGTCCCGGCGTTTTATTCTCCAGGCGGGTTAATCCCTTCCAGCGTTTAGCCTTTCGGGACCCACTCAGGGTCGCGGTTGTTTTCGCCGCGCGCCCTAGTCGAGATGCAAAGTTAATAGTCACACGAAGCTTATTTAGGACCGGCCAAACCAGCCTGGTCTGGAGTTACTGTTAAATGTATGCATATAGATGAAAGAAAAAGGTTTTGTAGAATCGATTAATTTTGAATTCGTATATTCAGAGGCCCCAGTTAAACTTCGTGTGACTATTAATTTTGCATCTCGACTGGGGCTGGCGGCGAAAACAACCGCGGCTCAGAGAGGGTCCCGAAAGGCTAAGCGCTAGACGGGCTAACTGATGTGGCCTCCGCCACCACTAGCAATGTCTCGTCACTACTGACACATTGGGAATAAACAACTGGGTCGTTTCTTTCTACATCTATTGTCAGCAGTGCGTGTGTGGCAGCAGAGAAGTTGGTAACGACCAACTGACCGTAAAAAACCTGTCAATCACACCAGACAGAAAACAATGTAAAATGTTGCCTGAGCGAGATTGCGCCACTCTGACTGCATAAATGCACACATACTTGTTCACACCAAGTGCAAGCAATATGAATAAATCTTAGTCAACTCAACATGATGTCTGAAACAAATACAAATACGTACGCATAATGCCAGGATTAAATCAGTTTTCCATTAACCAAGGGCGATTAGATTATACACAAACTTAATCAGCGCACATGACTAGAAAAATAGGAACGTACTCTTTCCAGGTAGGTACGCCGAGCAACACAATGTCCAACTTTCTCCAGACGCGTTAGCAGTTCGGGTCACATGCAGCATTCACATGCGGGGGACCCTGCCAGGGGAAAAGGCATGGGTTAACGACACGTAGAACGCCGCAACATGGCTCCCCAAATTTGTGTAACACAAATTTCGTGCTATCTCACTCTTACAATCTAGAAACCAAAATTAATCAATAGGGGACTTCCCGAGATGCCAAGCTTATTTGGCCTTATGATCTAATGTAACAGCAAATATCGTCCGACGTCCGCACTCTGCGGCACACTGGCGTTTCACACGCTCGTCTCGTCTCCGTCACACCGCTAGATGTCGGAGCATCGACCGCACTAGTTCTATTACGGTCGCCGTACGCTGCTACGAGTACCACTAAGGTCACCGCTCGATCGGTGCCGTCGCCTTTCTCACACATGGCCGAACTTACACATTCGGCACTTGTCAGTTACTGGGAGTTCTTGCTCCCCGACTGGGAATCATCCCGGTCGCCAATCAGTAGAATCACACGATTCACTGGTCGATCGTAGTTCGTAGAACCGATCCGCACGCACACCTTGCGGACCAGGCCGTCTCCGCTCGGATACACACTGGTGATGCGGCCGAGCGGCCACCGCGAGCGCGGCTCGTCGTCGTCGATGACGGCGACGATGTCTCCAGGCTGCAGATTTGGGTACCGATGAACCCATTTCTGCCGCTCCTGCAGGGTCGGCAGGAACTCCCGTCTCCAGCGCCGCCAGAATTGGTCCGCCAGAAATTGGACACGCCTCCAGCGCTGACGCACGTAGAGATCGGATTGGGAGAAACTACCGGGATAAGGTACTGCTACTCTACTTTTCAGTGTTAGTATTTGATTGGGGCTGAGGGGCAGGAGCGTATCGTCCGACGCTCCGCTGAAGTACGAGATCGGACGACTGTTGACGATCGCCTCGCACTCCACCAGCAACGTCCGGAGTAGCTCGTCGTCCATCGTGTGGCCATGGGCCACGATGAGGGGAGTTAGAACTGACCTCACGCTCCTGATCATGCGCTCCCAAACTCCTCCCATGGCGCTTGCCTGTGGCACGTTGAATTTGAACTCGAACCAGTCACAATCTTTCTTGAGCAGCTCTCCTCTGATTCGGATGTGGTCGTCCTCCTTCAGCGCCTCCTCCAACATGTTCTTGCCTCCGACGAAGTTCGTCCCGTTGTCGCAGAACAGCTTCCGAACGGGACCCCTTCGACAGACGAGGCGCCGAAACGCGTTCAGGAAGGAATCTGCTGAGAGGGAACAGACGGTCTCAAGGTGGATGGCACGGGATGCCAGGCAGCTGAAGAGGATACCCCAGCGCTTCACTTGGCTCCTCCGCTCCTTGACATAGAAAGGTCCGAAACAATCGACCGCGCAATGGCTGAAAGGCTCCACCGGCTCAGTCCTCTCAAGTGGCAGATCCGCCATCTTCTGCATCCGTGGACTTCCGCGAAGTTTCTTGCACGTGACGCAGCCTAGAATGTAGCTGCTTACCGCGCGGCGACCACCAATGACCCAATATCCGGCCGCACGGAGCTCGTTGAGTGTCGTACCACGCCCACCGTGGCACGTGTTTTCGTGGCACGCCTTCACGATCAGCTCGGTCACGTGACTCTTTCTTGGGAGGATCACCGGGTGGGCAACCTCCTTTGACAGCGTGCTGTTCTTCATGCGCCCTCCGACACAAATCAGTCCGTCCTCTCGGAGGAACGGATCCAGTCTGTAGATCGGGCTTTTGCGTTTTATAAACTTGTCTCTGCCCGTGATTCTGTTCTTGGCTGCCTTCTCTTTGGCATTTTCTTCGCGTCCACATTCTTCGTAGTTTCCTTCTTGTTGCTGTGACGTCAGCAGGCTCAGCTCTTCTGTGAACGCTTCTTTCTGAACAGATTTCAAAATCGCTTGTTCTGCTCGCATCAGGTCGTCTACGGTCATTCGTTCGACCGGCACGTACGATCTGACGTCCGTCGTGCCTCGATTCTGACTTGGTTTGCTGGCCAAGATGGTCATATAACGCCGACACAAGGCTACCGACTTCTTTGCTCGGTGCCAACTGGAGAAGTAGCCGAGGCGCTTCGCGAGCGAGTGGTCTCCACTGGATATCGGGGGCACGTCGTCATCTTCACCGGATACAACTCTCTGTTCTTCGTCGAGCTCGCTATTTGGTTTGGTTGCATCCCCCTCACATTTTCCTTTGGCGTCACCTTCAGTGTCTCCTCGTTTCGCCTCCTGGGAGATCCTTCCCTCGTCGTCTTCACAGGACTTCAAGACCGTGGTCCGGTATGAAGAACGTTTCACTTCTGAATCGTCGTTTGGGACGATGAACTCCTGCTCTGTATCGGGGATGTTGACATCTGCTGTAAGCAGTTCTGGACCATGCCACCACAGGTTGCTGGTGAACAGTTCTCTCGCGCCGACTCCTCGGGAGGCTAAATCCGCTGGGTTGTTCTTTGACTCGATGTAATGCCACTGCCGAGGCTCTGTGTGCTGTCGGATGTATTGGATCCTGTTGGCTACAAACACGTGAAATCGCTTCGCGTCGTTGCGAATGTAGCCGAGAACTGCGCGGCTGTCAGACCAGAAGTATTCCTCATAGTCCCGGATTGACAGCTCGCTTCTGAGAAAGCAGCTTACTTGTACAGAAATAACGGCACCAACCAGCTCAAGTCTCGGGATGGTGACCGCTCTCACGGGTGTGACTCTGGACTTCGCCATTATCAGCGAGCTGGCGATCCTGTCGTCCTTGAAGACGGTCCTGAGGTACGAGCACTGGCCGCATCCATCGTAGCTCGCGTCCGAGAAGTGATGCACTTCGTACTTCTTCACTTCACTGAGCTCCTCTGAGACGAAGCAGCGGGGAACCTTGAGCATGGACAGCAGCTCAACGTCTTCCTTCCAACAACGCCACTCTTCCTCCATGTCCTCGGGAATTGTGTCGTCCCAGCTGTACTTGTCCACGCACAGGCGTTTGAGAATGTTCTTCGCCACGAGAGTGCATGGGCTGATAAATCCAAGGGGATCATAAATCGCGCTCACTGATGACAGAATACCCCTTCTCGTCGCTGGCTTGCTGGGAAAACTGACGTCGATACACAGCGAGTCTTCCTCGGTCTCCCACTTCAGGCCCAACACGCGTTCAAGAGGGAGAGGCGTCTCTCCGTCCAGTGCCAGCTGACAGCTCTTCGACAAACTGTACACCGGCAGTGCTTTCAAAACGTCTCTGTCGTTGGAGATGAACTTGTGGAGGTTGAATCCTCCCTTCGAACACAGACTCACCGCGTCCCGTATCAGTCGGACCGCGTCCTCCGATGTTTTGGTCGAAGCCACTCCATCGTCGATGTAGAAGTTCCTCTCCACAAAGGACGCAGCTTCGGGTGAGTACTCCTCTCCGTACATCTGAGCTGTCTTCTTAAGAGCAAAGAGTGCAACTGCTGGAGAGCTCGTAGCCCCGAAAAGGTGAGTGCACATTCGGTACTCTCGCGGCTGCTCGTCGAGATCTCCGTCGCTCCACCAGAGGAACCGGAGCAGGTCTCTGTGTTCAGGGTTGACGCGCACTTGGTTGAACATGCCTTCGATATCTCCACTGAACGCCACAGGGGCTTCCCTGAAACGCACGAGAATGCCAATGAGGCTGTTGTTTACATCTGGTCCCTGGAGAAGACGAGCGTTCAGGCAGTCATCCTTGCAGAGTGCGCTGCAGTCGAACACGACCCTCAGTTTTCCTTTCTTCTCATGGTACACACCGTGGTGTGGTACGTAGTTGACCATGCCGTCACGGTCTCTCTCCTCGTCCGGAACCGGTTCAGCGTATCCTTTCAGGAAGAGATCACTCATGAAGGCCGCGTAGTCAGTTCTCAGCTTGTCGTCTCGAAGGAGTCTTCTTTTCAGTTGGGCTAGTCTGGCTTCTGCGAGATCTCTGTTGTTTGGCATTGACTGGCCTTCTTTCAGCGGAAGGGGAGCTTCGAAGTGGCCTCCTTCTTCTTTGTGCATGCCCTCTGTCATGACCTTGACAAACTGTATGTCTTCTTGGGACATCGCCTTTTCTTGTCTCTGATCAAAGAAGCCACTGTCGAAGACCTGTTGAACCTCTCGCAAGCTGACATCCTTGACTCTGGTCCGGTAGGCAAAGTGACACAACTTCTTGCGCTCATCACCCGAGCCGACGTAGAAGCATCCCTTCGGTTCGCTCTTGCTGATGAGTCCTACTATACCCCAGCCCAGAAGAGTACGCACAGCCCAAGGATCGTCTTCTTCTCCTGGGATGACTTCCCTGGGCTTGATGATGCGCGGACAGTTGACGCCCAGAAGGAGTCCGATGTCCGCGTCAGATTGTGGCACGGGAATCTTGTCTGCCACTTGGTGAAGGTGCGTCCACTTGAGGCATGTTTCAGGTCTGGGTATCAGTGTGTGATCTGCTGGGATCTCCTGGCGTGAATACAGAGTGGGAAGGTCTACCTTCTCACCGTTCTCCAGGCTTTCGACGACGAGTCCTGACGTCGACATGCACTTCAGTATCTTGCGACCATTCATGGTGCTCAGCTCCAGCTCGACTTCGGTGGCTTCTGGATGAAGGGCGTCACAGAGAGCGTCAGTCACAAAACTCGCATCCGACTGCGGGTCGAGCAGTGCATACGTGACGACCTTACGCTCGGGCTGATCCTGGCGGTACAGCTTTACTGGAACAATCATTGTGTGACAGTGAGAGGTACTGCAGTCTTCGACGTTCTGGACCGTGGATCGCAGTGAAGACGCCTTTGCTTGCATTTCGCCTCTTGTGGGCTTGCTGTTCTCAGTCTCACTGTGACCGCGAGCGTTAGCGGTTTTGGCGAGCGCTTCGTCATGGAGGAGCGTTGGGTGCGCCTTGGAGCACTTATCGCACTTGTCTCTTCTCCGGCAATCGCGCCACATATGGCCTGGTTTCAAACATCCTCTGCAGAGTCTCTTCTTCAACACCTGCACCTTGCGGTCTTCGAGGCTCATGGCCATGAACTTCTTGCAGGCATGTACAGTGTGATCTTCACCGCAGATGATGCAAGGACGTCTGCTTCTTGTCGTGGTTTCTTTAGAAACTGAACGCTCCTCGGTTTTATGGCCGCACGCTCCACAGGGGTTGTCGGTGCTTGACGTGAAAGTATGCACCTTTCCTCTCGCCTGCTTCGGGTCTCTTGTGTGCAGACTCTCTTCCATTTGCACACTCACAGGTCCGCAGGCGATGCGTGCTTCCGTGGCCACCAGCTCCACGAAGTCTGTAAAAGTCGGGTAGCTCGGGGTAGCGCCGTAGACACGGGTGTCCACAAGCCGCTTCCATCTGTCAGTGACGTAGGCAGGGAGCTTCTTGAGCACCAGGTGAATGGTGTGCGGGTCGTCCAGAGCTCGCATGCCTGGGAGGGCAGCGGAGGCCATCAAACAGTGCTCCAATAAGTCTGCGAGTCGCTGGAGTCCTTTGCTGTCCCCCGATCTTACTATGGGCCATTCCCTCAGTCGATTCAAGTAGCTGCTAGCCACGAGGAAGTCGTTGCCGTACCGTGAGACGAGCTTCTCTTTGGCCTTGATATAGGCATCAGCTGTCCGTAGATGTAGGAACCCGGCGATAGCACTGTGGGCTTCACCATCGGTGTACCTGCTGAGGAAGTGTAAGCGTTCCACTGTACTTGAGGTCCGATGCTCCACGTACGTTTCGAACGCTCTCAGCCAGATCGGGAACTTGTCAACACTTCCGGTAAACACACCAGGTTCGATCATGGGCAGGCGGCCTTGCTTGCCCTGGTCTTTGAGGACGTTCACCAGACTCGCTAGCACTTCAGTGGCGGTTGATTCGCTGACCTCCTTTTGTACCTCTGGTTCTTCCTTGGTTCTTGCAGCATGAGACGCTTCTTCCTCACTAGGGGTCTCTCTTCTTGTCTCGCCCTTCGTAATAGGGTGCTCCGACTCGCTCATTCCTTCTTCCCTTTCGAACTTAAGCAGAGCTTCCTTCTTTGCTGTAAGTATGTCATGTTCGGTCTCCAATTCCAGCTCTCGCATTTTCCACTCCAGCTCCTGTCGCTGACGCTCGATCGCCAGTCGCTTCTTTGCTGCAGCAGTCCTGGCCTCCAGCTCTGCTCGCTTCTGGGCATCTTCAAGGTGCATTAGACTTATCTTCGCCCGAACGGAACTTCCTGAAGATTTGAGAGAGATCGATGGTTGTGCGTCTTGTGTCTTGTGGGTTGGCTCCAATCTCCCTTCCATCTCTTCCTTCATCGTGTTCATGTCATTCATGACATCTTGGTGCCTCATTGTACGCTCTTGTCGTTCGCCTTCTGAAAGGAGTACTAGCAGCTCACTGTTTGTTTGAACGAGACTGATGTAGGCTCTCTTCCATTGGATGTACGCTTCCTTGAGCGTCTCATCTTCTTCGCCTTCGTCAGAGCTCTTCAGACTCTTGATGATATCGACACCGGTTCTCTTCAACTCCTTCACACATCTCTGGTACTTCTTTTCCTTCGTGTCGATCTGGAACTGCCTCCCTTCTTCGGTGAGTGTGACGTGCCTCCCACTACGGGATGTGAGACGGTCAACTCCATCAGCAGGTTCGCCACCTTCTGCCATTTTGGTGACCTTGCTTTCAATCAGTGGGAGTTAGTGGATGACAGAGACAGTTTCGAACTACTGATGTCAAGAAGGATGATATGACAACGCACATGGGTCTGGAGACTGGAAGTCAACGTTTGTTAATGGGTTAGTTAATGGTCTAAGCTACTGGCAAGAGGAAGAGTTTTTTACTGATGTGGCCTCCGCCACCACTAGCAATGTCTCGTCACTACTGACACATTGGGAATAAACAACTGGGTCGTTTCTTTCTACATCTATTGTCAGCAGTGCGTGTGTGGCAGCAGAGAAGTTGGTAACGACCAACTGACCGTAAAAAACCTGTCAATCACACCAGACAGAAAACAATGTAAAATGTTGCCTGAGCGAGATTGCGCCACTCTGACTGCATAAATGCACACATACTTGTTCACACCAAGTGCAAGCAATATGAATAAATCTTAGTCAACTCAACATGATGTCTGAAACAAATACAAATACGTACGCATAATGCCAGGATTAAATCAGTTTTCCATTAACCAAGGGCGATTAGATTATACACAAACTTAATCAGCGCACATGACTAGAAAAATAGGAACGTACTCTTTCCAGGTAGGTACGCCGAGCAACACAATGTCCAACTTTCTCCAGACGCGTTAGCAGTTCGGGTCACATGCAGCATTCACATGCGGGGGACCCTGCCAGGGGAAAAGGCATGGGTTAACGACACGTAGAACGCCGCAACACTAACCCACCCGGAGAATAAAACGCCGGGACCAGAAAGCGGCCTCATTTCCAGCACTGCCTGCCCTCTACCCTCCGATCGCGCAATCCCAGTTTTATGGCAGAATTTAGAGTCCAAAGTTTAACGTGCGCACATAGCCGCGCACGGCCGGTCCCCTCACTGACTTCGCCAGGCTACGGCCTGCCACCAACCGCAACCATACCTGTCAGGAGGCCCATAAATGTCAAGCGCCCGTCGCACTTCGAACCCGGACTGTTGTAACCGGGAACGCGTGCTCTCACCACGCGGAGTCCAACGCTCTACCAACTGAGCTACGGGACCGGCAAACCTTAAAGCAACCAAGTCAATATCCAACTTAATCTTCCGTCTGGATGATAGGCCCCTCTCGCACGGATACTAACCCCGAATTCGCAGTCTCCTTGGACGAATATGTCTATTAACTTGAACTTGGCAACGTATTCAGGTTAATTGATTCATATTAGATATCAATAGTCTGCAGACTATTTAGAATCATTTAAAAACGATTTTACTTGTGTCTCCGTGCAACTAGGTATGCCTACCTCCTTAGCGGCTTGGCCTTCCAATTTTTTATTAACACATGTTAGCTATCTTTTTGCTCCATTGTATTGAAAAATTGTATTGCAAAATTTCACCTCTGTATACTTTTGCTGTTAATGCTGCTTACGATAGCAATAACAGCTAATGCCGACTTATGATTCGTCGATTGGGATATAGAAAAGCACTATTATGGAAGCTACTCGTCTATTAAACAGGAAATCAAATTTCTGTACTGCGTATTTTATGTATCGTACCCAGAAAACCTAAATGCATTTTTGAGAAAATGAAAATTACAAAACCACAATACATAGTGTTTTGTGCTGGTGGATTTGTTGACTGAAAATCGATGTTTTCAGGTTTGATATTTATAGGTGGTTGTTTTCTCTCTTGACTCGACTTTAAAACGCAGTTCACACATGACCGTCAGTCTGTCGGTGTCGGGCCCGTCACCGTCGACCTGACGGCCTGCAGCCCGTCAAACGAAAGTTGAGATTTGGTAGCTCCCGTTGGCTGCCATATGTTGTGACAGAAATGGCGCACCATTTTCGAGATTGACGCAGATGGGGGAAGGGGATGGGGAGACGGTAGAGGCCGAGAGGTTAAAAATATTCTTTGAATTACAGAAATAAAATTACATTTTTATGTCAAATAATGCTGCAATTTAATTTAAATGAAAGACACATCGGTTCGCTGATTTAAATCAGGGATCGAATCTCAAGATATCGTGCCGTAATAAACACTTTCATCTCAACAAATGGATGGAAAATGGTACAAATGATCTTAAAAATGCATATAAGCTTCATGCTGCATGAGAAGGTTCCTTTTCCTCTTCCTCCAACACGCAGACATTCAAACCGACGGGCCCGTCACCGTCAAAAGTTGAACATTGCTGAACTTTCCAAAGCGACGGCCGTCAGGTCCGGCGCCGGCGCAGTCAGCTGTTGCCGGCCGTCAAACGCTGCCGGTTCACACATGCCCGTCGACCTGACGGCCGTCACTCCGTCGGTTTCGGCCGTTTTGACGGTGTCGGGCCCGTCACCGGCAGACCTTACGGGCAAGTGTGAACTGCGTTTTAATATAAAGGATATCAGCCATCAGCTGTTCAGCCTTTGTTTTTGTTTTCGAGGCAAATCGACACGGAGAAGCAACGGAGAAGCACAGGAGCATTTTTGTGGGCATTTTCTTTGTGGTTGCATGGTCAGGATTTCTTTACTTTGACTTGGAAATCGCAAGTGGTTTAACTTCGAGGATGGAGTGAAGTGCAGCTTAACTTTTGGTTACCCTGAAGGCTGAACCTAATATACAGCCTTGAGCTGAATCAGAATCATTGATGCTGAAAATATCTGTCCTGTATTCCAATGTGAATGTCCACGGCACTTTGATTACCAAAGCATCATCTTTTCATTTTTCAGGTGTCACCAGGAGGGCAATTTTTCCAGAAGACACTTTCTCATCAGACGTGATGTTGTATGTTTTCCTGGTAAACACAGGTCATACGCTGACATTTGATATGCAGCTGGCCATGCAAACTGTGGCTGTGCTCAAGAGCAAAATTGCTGAAAGCAGCAGGATCCCTCCAGATAAACAGGTAGATTTTGGGTGATGAGGTTACAAAGTGCTTATGTCAGGCATGGGAAGCTTGCTTGTCTATAAGCATGGTACCTATTTTGCTCTGCTCATGACCTTGAACATAGGTTCCAACCTAGGCACAGGCTCATGGTGCTGTTTTTATCCATTTGAGTCTTTTCTTGGTGGCCTTTTAGTATTTCACTCCATTATCATTGAGGGATGGCTGGGGAACTTACCTGTCCTATTCCCTTTCAAACAGGTGCTGCTGATTAGTGGAGGAGAGTGGCTGGACAGCGAAGCACGTGTCGGCAGCTACTCTGCGGGCACAGACACCAGCCCCATCTTCCTGTTCTCCAAGCAGGGCGAGCCGCCACAACTGATGCCTCCCACTGACACGATGCAGACCAGCGATGAGATTGAGGACCAGGTGAGAGGGGATGGCCAATGGGTGGTGAATGGCATGAAGGTGTTGAAATTCTTTGGACACAGTATTACAGTAGGTACTTCTTTTGCATTTAGTGCCTTGGACCACACTTTCCAATTAGAAGAAAATTACTGACAATCTTGAAAGACTTATGCTTGTCAGGGTTCTAATGAATGAAATATATAGGTAATATTTATGTAATTCTTTCTTCCTCTTTGTATTCTCCTGTATCTCTCATCTGCTCTTCTTCTCCTTCTCTTCTCGTCTTCTTTTCTGTTATCCTATCCTCTCATGTCCTTCCCACTCTCCTCTGCCCCTTTTCCTCTGCTCTTCTCTCCTTTCCTCCTTCCCTCCTCACATCTTTCTCTCATCCTCTATTTTCCCCTCTCCCCACTTCTCTCCTTTCATCTTCTCTCCTCTTCTATTCTATCGTATGATATCTTCTGCACCTTTCACCTCTCTTTTCTCCTATCCTCTTTTATATATCCCTCTCTCTCTCTCTCTCTCTCTCTCTCTCTCTCTCTCTCTCTCTCTCTCTCTCTCTCTCTCTCTCTCTCTCTCTCTCTCTCTCTCTCTCTCTCTCTCTCTCTCTCTCACACTCACTCACTCACTCACTCACTCACTCACTCACTCACTCACTCTCTCTCTTTCACTCACTCACTCACTCACTCACTCACTCACTCACTCACTCACCCACCCACTCACTCACTCACTCACTCACTCACTCACTCACTCAGTCTCCCTTCCTTTTTTACTATAGCACTGCCAGTATATTATAAAGCAGAATCTTAAGTTTCTCACTACAAAGACAGTCAGATCACTCCTGTCAGTTTGTCTGAGGCTCAGATGATGGGGACATGACGCGGCGTCAGTCAAGTCTCCGCCAGAGTGTCGTCAGTGGTTCTGTCATATAAGGGTGGTGGGTGTCCCGTGGTGCTGTCCTCAGCTGTGATGCCTCTTTTGGCAGTCGTACCTGCTATGGTGCTTGGTTGGATGCTCCTATAGGGGATCATCACTCAGTTGTGTGGTGCGTCACTTGCTTCAGTGATTTATCAGCCATGCGAGAAGCGACTTCACGATATGGTTCTCACTTTTCTGCGTACGAATTCCGTTTGTAAACGGTACGATGCTAGGGTGTTAAAAGAGAACAATTAACCTGAATTTCTGATGATGTGGCTCTCCTGATGACCTATCGTTCATAGCCACACAAAAAGAATGGAAGCGTACTCGAAGGAGCTGATGTTAGTTTGTTCCGCCATTTCGAACGTGGTATTTTGGCTTATCTTAAAAAAATCATTTTCTGATTAATCATGTATTCTACTACACTCCTGCCTTTTTCCGATGCAGACGCTACCATGCAGATGCTACCATTTTGTTAAAGCGCTTAGCGCTCTGTATCAGTGATAGGAGTTAAATGAAGCTGGCATGTCTTTCCTTTATATTTAATACGATAAAAAGCATGCGATAAGAGTAGTGTGTGCGATAAGAAGAAGCACGCGATGAGAGTAATGTGATGCGAGAAGAGGCATGCGAATTCCGAAGAACCGAACCGAAATACAGATGTTTGAGTGGAAATTATTATCGCTGGTCCCGGTTGCTAGCGAAATGTGCCCAGTATACGTAAATCATGTTCGTTCACGTCTGAGCACATTTTAGCATCACAGACGTACTTAACTTAATACGCTGCTTCGTGCACTTAGCTCTTATTTTTGTGATTATTTTTGTCACTATTCGTGTCTTTCTGGGATTGGCAGCCTCCTCGCGCCATGCTCACGAGAGCCACGAGAGCCATGCTCAGTGCTTATTGCGAAGCAGGCCTAGCCCGGCCGACCTCTCTACGACCGAAGCAGCTGCCAGGCGTGGCCAGGCTACAGAGGTTGAGTGTGCGTAGGTTCTGCAGCGGACTCTATTACATAAGTGTCCTGCATGGGTCGCTTTCGTACATGTGTTTTGACCCGACTGACCAATCACGTTCCATGTGAGCAGTGCTGTCCTGTCCGGTCTGACAGTGTTGTCGATCTGATCTTAGCCATCCGTTCTGACCAGTATCGTCCCATCTGACCAGTATCGTCCTATCTAACCAGTATCGTTCCATGTGACCAGTATCGTCTCATGTGACCAATGCCGCCTGTTCTGATCACTATCGTCCCATCTGACCGGTCACGTCCCATTTGACCGTCCTGTCCCGTCTGTTTGACCCCGCAGGTGGCCGGGTCTCTGACGCTGCCTCCCAGCTACTCCACCGTCGTATCACGCTCACAGCTGGCCCAGCAGATCTTCGAACAGGGAAAAGAACAGGTGAGACCAGCCTGGCGGAGCGAGGGACGGATGAGTTCTATTTCGCGGTCATTTGGTATATACATCCGCCTAGCATTGGTCGTGTCCTCCATTTCCCTTTTTTGTGGCTGATTTCCTCATCTCTGTCCCCTGAACTGCAGGTGCGGCAGCGTGACCAGCCGTGTCTGTGACGTGAGTCGCTGTTCCTAACTATGTTCCCGTTCCCTGACCCACAGGTGCGGCAGTGTGACCAGCTGATCCATGAGCAGCACATGCAGCAGCAGGGCTGGTCGGCTGTGGTGGCCAACACGGATGATACCTCACAGGTAGGACCGGCTGACGGTGACCCGTATAGGATAGGTACTGGTGGCTACTGGCTGGGAGGGCTGACGAGCGTGGGCAGTACAGGCGGCTTTCTAGGGAGTGATCGCTGGTCGAAATGGGGAAATGCCGGGTATTTTGCGACTTCTATGGTTTCTGGCATAGCTTCTTCTTGGTATACACTTGCGATTCTGAATGTTGTCTAGCTGTGTGAACCTTCCCCAAGTTTCTTAATTGTGGCCCCTTGTAACAGCCCCCCCCCCCCCCCCCGGCAGCAACTGGAGAACACGGGCGTGTCGTTCACGTCCCAGTTCGAGAAGTACCTCACCGAGCGGCCGGCGCACTACGAGCTGGTGGCGGCGTTTGAGTCAGACCTCCAGCTGCTGGCGCGCATCCCTATGCTGGCAGAGCTGGGTGGCTCGCTGAGCAGCGGTCCGATCCCCGAGGGAACGTCACTGCTGGACTGGATCAGCACTCACGATACCGGGCGGCTAGAGGATGTGAGCGGGGGGAGAGAGGAGGGGGACAGTGTGAGGGCCTAGGGGAGGGTGATGGGCAGACGGGAGGAGAGGGAGAGAGGACCGGGGGGAGGGGAGAATGAAGCGTAACGGAATGACGGGGAGAGGAGAGGATGGATTGTGGGAGCGAAGAGAGGGTGGGGAAAGTTTTAGAGAAGACCGGTAGGACTTTGAGAGGTATTTGTAGTCAATCTGACGTGCTCTCGCGGTCCGTACATGTGAGCTTGTGCGCTCGTCGGACAACCCACGGGTACACAGCTGCTCTCGTCAGTATTTTCTGTGTTGTGCCTCTGACCTTGTCCGTCCTCTGCGTACAGGTGTGCGAGGGCGCCGAGACGGGTCTGGAGCAGCTGAACCCGGACCTGCTGCAGAAGATGACTACCGAGCTGCGCCAGCTGCTCGACCCGGCCGTCAACGCCGAGATGACAGAGATCCGCGGCCTCGAGGAGCGCCTGATGCGGCTCGACGAGCTGCGCCACCGCGCCCAGACCACCGTCTCCGAACAGAAGGAGCTGGCCAAGGCGTTCATCCAGAACCAGGCGCGCGCCAGCTGCGTCAACGACCCGTCCGTGCTGCCCGACCTGTGCGCCTCGCACTGCACGCAGCTGCAGGTGGGTATGGAGTGGTTTAGATAGGTGTGTGTCTTCCACCGTACTTAGCTCCTGTTGGGGCTGGGACTTGGGAGATTATCAAAGGACCTTTGGTTTAGTGAATAATGCGACTTTAAAGTTTCATGTATTAGTTACGTACAGTTGATCGGTATCGGATGTAACTCCTCGTTCCTCGTCGCCCGTTCGCACGGACACGTCTTATGTCAACGAGCAGTACAGCATGGCTGTGGGCCGTCCCGTCCCGTCCGCGCGCCGTCACCTCCTCCCTCCCCGCCGTTCACAGGTAATGCTGGAAAAACACAAGGTGCTGGTGGACGCGCGGCGTCGCTGCGCCAAGGCGAAGGAGGAGCTCTCGAGCAACATCCACGCCCGGCTGGCCTGGGTCATCAGCGTGCAGCGGCGCATGAACGAGCTGACCGGCACCCTTCTGCTCAACTCGGAGCGGCTCAAAAAGCTCAGAGAACAGCTGGCTATCCTGGCGACGCTGCACCAGGCGCCCACCTTGTACCTGACGGCCGTGGCTGAGGTAAGGAACCGCTAGCCGAGGACTCTGGGGAAGGGTGGTGTGGGGAGGTGATGGGAGGCTATGTGGGTGGAGGGGTGTCTGGTGGGTTTTGTGAGTTTTCAAAAGACTCAGACCATGTTACATTACTGACTCACATTACGTTCCCACAGAAGAACGTAATGTGACATGGTGGGTTTTGTGAGTTTTCAAAAGACTCAGACCATGTCACATTACGTTCTTCTGTGGGACGCCAAGTGAAAACATTTATTTTGTTTACTTTGGGTCACTAACGCTACCAACAACGTTCCGTCTAGTTCGAGTGAAATGTTCCTATTTTCGCTCCTCCCCCGTGCCGCTGTGTTCCGCCCCGTCGTCAGTCTAACTCCTCTCCCTATCCGTCAGGTGGTGCGCCGGCGCCAGTTCACGGGCCGGTTCCTGGAGTGGGCCGGCACCATCGCCGGTCACGCGGCCGCCGTGCACACGGCAGAGACCGCCGCGCGCGCCCGCTTCACCGCCACATTCCGGTCGCACTTTTTCCGCTCGGTATTCCCGGGCCTGGAGCAGGTGCCGCCGCCGTTCGCTGCCGTCTGTCCGGCCGACTACGACGCCCGGCTGCCGGTACTGGGTGATCAACATGTTCAGCGGCTCCGGGAGGCGGTGCCGGAGCTGGCGCACCTGCTGGACGTGCCGGAGGAGCGGCCGCCGCTGCCGCTGCCCGGAGCGGCTGGCAGCGCGCCGCCGCACCACGGGCCCGCCGTGCAGGAACTCAGGGACGGCCTGCGCGCCGTGGCCAAGGCTGTGAATGAGGAGGTGGTGCAGTTCGGGGACGCGCTGGGTGACGCGGGGAACCGGCTGGCGCGCGCAGTGGCGGCGGTGACGGCGGCGGAGAGACAGAGAGCTGAGGAGCTGAGGCAGAGGGTACAGGTGAGACGGGAGAGGGAGGGAGCAGTGGTGGGATTTCCGAGACCGGAGGCTGCGTCGGTGTAGAATCTGAGGGGCTCCGTCATCTCTTGTTCATCGCCGGTTGATATCGAATAAGGAGACGGGTTTTATAATTTTATGATGTAATGTTTTGGTTACGAACTGTCTACCGAAGCACTGCATGTCATTGCCATTTGGACTATGGTAGCTGTACATGAGACATCCGTGCTAATAACTCCATAGCGTTACATACCGTCTAATTCTTCACCGTCCCCCAGTCCCTGGAGGAGCAGCTGGCGGCGCAGATATCCGAGCGGGAGGCAGAACAGGCGGCGGCCGGCGCGGCGCACGAACAGACAGTGCGCCAGCTCACCCTGGAGCAAACCGTCGAGCTGGAGCGCGCCGAGGAGCGCGTCTCCCGCCTGGAGCAGGAGCTCGAGGAGCAGCGGGTGACGGCCGGCCGGCTGCGCGCCCAGCTGGATGCCGGGTCCGACCGAGAGCGTATCGTGGCCATCCTGGAGGCGAGCTTCCAGGAGCGCGAGCGGAAGGCGGTGGAAGCGTGTGCCGACCGGCTGCGGGCCGAACAGGAGGCCGAGCGGCGAGCCGCCAAGGAGGCGCACGACGCTCAGCTGCAGAGGCACACGGACGAGCAGCGCACCAAACTCATACTCGAGTGGAAGGAGGTGGGTGGCCGGGCGGACGCGGTCCGGGCGGTGTGTTGGGTGTAACGATACGGTAGATAAATGCAGTATCGCAGTATACATGTATATGCATTGTAGAGATACGTGAGCAAAGCAATGTTGGTGGCATGGTTCTTACAGCAACAATTATATGCTTGGCTTTTCGAGTTTTCGCATTGCATTTAAGGAAATTGAACACGTAAAATCACGAAATCTTGGCTGCTTTGCTTATTTACCAACCTTACCTTCGAAATTTCAACTCTCTTTATCCATTTCCATTTCTGTCAGGTAAGCAAGCATTCGATTAATCGCATGTCCCGTGTCCAGCCGTTATCGTACATTGCGTGTGCCGCTCTGCTGTTCCCCACCTCATCCATGCCGCCATCATCCCCATCCCTCGCCCCACAGGTAAGCGAGAAGCAGAAGCGCGAGATCGAGGAGCGGGCGGCGCGCCACGTGGCCGACCTGCAGGCGGAGCAGGCGCGCCAGGCCGAGCGGCAGGCAGCGCAGGCGGTCGCTGAGAAACAGGCGGCCGTGCAGGCGGTCACCGAGCGACTGAGGGCCGAGCACAGGGCCGAGGTGCAGGCGCTCCGATCCCGGTGAGTGCAGCGGTGGAGGTGAGGAAGGGGTTGGAGACGCACGTATGATTGTCTGATGGGCGTGAGAATGTTGCGATTTTCAGTATATCACTTCAACGTATTAGGATATGGCGTGCCTTTACTATGTAGTTATTCTCTGATTTGATTGCTCTTCATGTTTAATTTCGTACTTGTTGTGCCCTTTTTGCCTTTGGTGTTGATTCTATTCGTTTAGTGGTGTGTATGTGGTAAAACATATTGTTATTGGTCGCAAAATTTCCGCGGCTGGTATGCTGTTGCTGGTCATCATTCCTCCTTTGTGCTGTCCTCCATTCCTTCCCCTCCTGTTACGATGGTCCCTGCCTGATGCCGTAGTGTCCGTTCTGACCGGTGTTGTACGGCTGCGCCTCGGCAGGTTCCGTATGATGACATCCAACCTGGGCTCCCCGTCGGACGGCAGCTCGGAGAACCTGCCGGTGGGCTCCCCGCCATCAGAGGGCGGCGCTCGGCAGCGCACCGACTCGGGCCGCCGGCTGCCGACGCTGGCCGAGCGCGACTCGCTGCTGGAGCAGCTGCGCGGCGCGCGCAGGGACGTGCTGAGCGCAGCGCGCGCGCACCCCTCGGCCGAGCTGCAGCGCGCCGCCGAGCGACTGGCGGACGGCGAGACGCGCCTACTGCAGGCCGAGACGGCCGCGCTGGCGGAGCCGGCCGGCGGCTCCGAGCCCGGCCTGGACGCGCAGAGCGTGCGCAGGCTGCAGCGCGACAATGAGCGGCTGCGCATGCAGCTGTCGCGCAGCACCAGCGGCCTGCTGGAGCGCGGCCAGGTGTCCATCATGAGCTGCAACGACGGAGACCTGGTGCTGATCGTCTGGGACGGCGACCGCATGCACTACCGCGTCTACCAGGAGGCCTCCTTCCTCTTCTTCGTGCACGCCGACTGTTTGGAGGCGCTGGGCCTGCAGCAGCAGTCGCAGCAGCAGCAGCAGCGCCGGCAGTATGCAGTCGCAGAGGTCGTCAGCCACGAGTTCTGTCAGGCGCGCAAGGAGGGCAACCGGTACCGGGTGCCGCGCGGCACGCGATTCTACAGGGTGCGAGTCAAGCCGTGGACTCGGCCGGCCTCCTCGGGCACTGCCGCCGCCGCCGGTGCCGGCAGCAGCAGCAGCGCTGTCTCTGAGCTGTCCGCCTCCACCCGGCGGCTGTCGCTCCGGTCAGCCGAGTCTGTGGAGTCACATGAGGCCGCCTCGTAGGGAGCGGCGGCGCGGTGCAAATGATTCGGGTATGATAGAGCTTTCCGTGAGACTGGAGGTGTCTGCGCCGAGACTACAGCGTGTGCTGTGTATTCCGTCAGACTGGCGACGTATGCGCGTGAATTCTATATGCACAATATCCGCCGAGGTTGACCTCGGCCATTTCCAGTGTTCGTTTTTACTAACCGACTGCGGTGCGGGTGAGACTGCCGCTGATTGTGTATTCACCAGTATTGTGCTTTATCGGTGACTTTGCCCGCCAATGTGCGTATTTAACCTATGGTGGGGCGTCGGGTGACCATTTGGGTGGCTGGCCATTTATTGTGCTTGTGCTTTGGCCGCTCACCATCCATGTATGAATTGAATCACGAGCGAAATAAATACATTGTACACCAAGTGCGATTAGCCTTTGCAGCTAGTTGTTGCTCGTTCTGAGAAGTATTTTTCATCTCCGGCCGAGAGGTGGCGGGTGCCAACCCCTTTCTATTTTGTCGATTGATCATTCACAACACGCTGGCCTAAGATGGCTGAAGGTTGGTGCACCTGACGTTAGACTCAAGCCAGATCTGGCAACAAGCTGCATTTTCAGGCCAGGTCACTGACCTATGAAGTTACAAATGAGCCTCTGGGCCATCTCTGGGCTCTGCGTGATCCAAAAATGTCACAGCTCGACTTCGTGGCGCCCTCAGCGCCAGACATTTGACCTGGGCATCGAGGTCACCGACTGATCTGAGACATGTCGCTGGGTGCCAATACAATCATAACTGGTCATTCGCTTGCCCATCAACCATGGACCAGCCAGACAATAATGAAATTTGCGTCCATTGTCAATGCAGTGCTTTGTGAATCTAGGGAGATTTTTTATTCTAGCGACAAATCTGAAGAACTTGAAATAATTCGCTAGCATGAGTAGTGCGCGAAAAGAAATTATTTTATTTTTGTTTTTAGGTACAAAGTACCCCAATTTTTACATTTAAATAGAATATTTTATTTTTTAAGTAATTATGGGCATTTTTATTATTTCTTCATCAATTCCGTTTTTAGAACATAAGACAGAAAAGCTTTCTAAACATCACTATGAGGAAAACAACTTTCACATCTGCAGTCGGCGAGTGAACGTCGGGGCGGTGTGCTGCTGCACCTGTGGTGTGTGTGAAATGGCTGTGATATGAAGATCTTTGGTATAAGAAGAATATGACCATGATTTGTGGGTCATAGCACTGGCGAAACAAAGTGTAAGGCCGTGGTGACTGTTTGACTGCTCCTCGAGACCTGAGTGAAGCTACAAACAACCATGGGCTGGAAAATGGGAGCCACTGCGTTGTTGGTCTTCTTCACAGTGACAGGATTTGTTGAATCAACAGATCTTGTGGTTCAGACTCCGTTTGAGATTGATGTTCAGTCTGCACGGTTCCGCCTGGACTACAGACCTGCAGAGGGTTATCCAGCACCAAATGCAACTTTCACCCCTGCTCAAATTAGGAGAGGAGTCACCCTGACTAATGTCCTGCCTGGTGCAAAGTATGAAGTATCACTGTACCTTACCAATGATAGCTACACTGATTGGCCTGCATGGTCTGAAACTCTTGACACAAAGCCAAATCCACCAGAGAACTTTTCTGCCGCGGTGCTCTCTGGCAAGATTGTCCAGGTGTCATGGCTACCGCCAACTGCTGGAGGGACAACTGGGTACAAGCTGAAGGTCATTCCATATTCAGAGCCTCAGAATTCAGTGCACAACATCATCATTGACAAGGACAAGTCACCTTTCACCTTGCGTGAACTTACACCAGGTGCATCATATGGCCTAGAGTTGTACTCCAGATATGGTGATGCAGAGAGCTCAGAAGCTGCATCAGCAAACATCACAACTATCCCAAATACTCCAGGGAGATTCATCGTGTGGTTCAGGAATGAAACAACTATGCTTGTCCTGTGGCAGCCACCATATCCAGCTGGCATCTACTCAAAATACAAGGTGTCCATTGATCCTCCAGATGCACCTGACAGTGTGTTTGAGGTTGAGAAAGATGGAGAGCCCCCTGGTCCTGCCCAGGCAGCATTTTATGGACTTACACCTGGTCGTCCATACAACATTTCTGTACAGACAATCAGCAATGACCAAGTGTCTCTGCCTACCACTGCCCAGTACAGAACAGTGCCTCTGGCTCCAAGAAATGTGACCTTCGACCCTCGATCACTCAAGCCGAGGTCATTTGTTGTCCGGTGGCAGCCTCCCAAAGGGTTCGTTGAATTCGACAAGTACTCGGTTTCCATAGACACCCGGAAGAAGGCGCCCCAGATTATCGAGCGGGGTCAGCCGACCTCTGCTCTGTTCACCGAGGGCCTGGAGCCCGGCGTGACCTACAAGGTCATGGTGAAGGCGGTGTCGGTGAACGTCGCCTCGTGGCCTGCCGAGGGTAACGTCACCACCAGCCCGCTGCCTGTCATCGGCATGAACTCAACCACCAACCCGGAAACGGGGGAGATCTTTGTCGAGTGGCAGCCGGACCCGGAGAGCTACCAGGACCACTATCGCGTAACCTACCAGGAGCTGGAGACGTTCAACGGCGACTCCAGCACCACCGTCGTGGGCGATACCAAGTTCAGTGTCGACAACCTCTTGCCTGGCAGGAACTACAGTATCAGCGTGGCCGCGGTCAGCAACTCCGTTCCCAGTGTAGAGGTGGCCATCTTCCAGGCGACCAAACCGGCTACGCCCATCATTGAGAACCTTGAACCCATACCAGAAGGTCTCAATATCTCCTGGAAATCAGACGTTACGTCACGCCAGGACCACTATGCCGTCATCTACACTCGCAACGACACTGAGGTGGAGAAGACTGTGCAGACGGAGCTGCCGCGTGTCCAGCTACGTGACCTCTACCCGGGTGCTGTCTACGAAATCCGCATCTTCGCCATCAGTCACAACCTGTGGAGCAACCCGCACAAGTACTACCAGGCCGTGTTCCCCAACGAGGTGCGTGACCTGAATGTCACGGTGGTGTCCGCAAGCAGCGTGCGCCTCGACTGGAACCCTCCGCGTGACTCCATCTACGACGGCTACATCGTGCGCTACACCACCGCGGACGGACGCAAGACCGAGCTGCCGCTGACCACCAACACCAGCTACATGGTGCGCGGCCTGCTGCCCGGCTACCGGTACACGCTGCAGGTCTCCGCCGTCTCCAGCAAGGTCGAGTCGTGGAAGCCCGTGTCCGTGCAGCAGACGCTGCCGCCAGCCAAGACACACGCTGGCGACGTCCAGGTGCTGATCGACTCCAGCAACGTGACGCTGATCTGGCAGGTGCCCGACGGCTACGTGGACAACTACATCGTCTCCTGGTGGCCGATTGATGACCCCGCGAAGAAGGAGACGATCACTGTCGGCGAGACGCTGCAAGCCGGAAAGATGGCCGTGCCCGTCACCGGTCTGCGGCCCGGAGAGCAGTATCTATTCGAGATCTACTCGACGGCTCATGAACAGGAGAGCGAGAAGATCACCATCAACGAGCGCACGCTACCGCTGTTCCAGTCGACGGTTCAGCTGGTCAGCGGTGTTTCGGAGCCGAGCACCCTCACCATCACCTACACGCCGACGCCGCCCTCTGGCACAACATTCGATCGATACCGGTGTGTGCTGGCTGACGCGGACAAGCCCGGCCAGCCTATCGTCCGCAAGGAGGAGCGCATGGCCGATGATCCGAACCGCAGCTGCATCTTCAAGGAGCTGGTGCCGGGTCGCGTGTATCGCGTCACGATGTGGACCGTGTCTGGTGGCGTGACGAGTGTGCCGTACAGCCGCGACATCCGCCTCTACCCGGCGCCCATCACGGAGATCAACGCCACGCGCATCACCGACACCGAGATGACACTCACCTGGGACGAGCCGAACGGCGAATGGGATGGATTCGACGTCTACCATCAGGGCGAAGGCGAAGCGTCCGTCAAGAACATGGTGGTCAACCCGCCATTCACCTTCCAGGACCTGACTCCGCACAAGAACTACACGTTCACCATTCGCACGCTGTCTGGCAGCCAGACGCGGCTGATGCAGCGCTCCGATCCGTTGTCGGCCAGCTTCGTCACCGATGAGAGCGTGCCGGGCCGCGTGGCTGTCTTCACAGCGGCCGATCTGACCCCGAACCAGATCCGCTTCCGCTGGAGACTGCCGGACACTGCGCAGAATGGCGTCCTGCAGGGCTTCACCATCCGCTACGGTGAGAAAGATGCCAAGCGTGTGCTCGTGCAGGACTTTGGACCACATGAGACGGAGGGTCTCATCAGAGACTTGCAGCCGGGTCAGGCTTACACGTTCCAGATCCAGGCGCGTACCAAGCCCGGCTACGGCCCGGTGACCAACTATGAGACGACGATGCCTGTCTGGCCGCCGCCGGAGCCGAACGCACGCGTATTCCCGACAGAAGTGTCCAAGAACGACACGACGATCCGTGTGCGTTTCCGCAAGAACTACTTCAGCGACGAGAACGGACCGGTCATTGGCTACAGCATCGTTGTGGCCGAGGACTACAGCAAGGACTCGAGTGGCTTCGAGCTGCCGAACTGGTTGGATGTGCAGGCGTACCCGGTGTGGCCTCCGTACCAGGTGAACCGGCCCTACAATCCGTTCTCCAATCGCTCCGTCGAGGACTTCACCATCGGCACGGACGCGGCCTGTGCACAGAAGTGTCCACGAGAGCGATGCTACTGCAACGGTCCGCTAAAGTCGGGTACAAACTACGTGGTCAAGGTTCGTGCGTATACTGCGCCGGACAAGTTTGCCGACACCGCGTACAGTCACCCGATCCAGACTGATTACACGAAGAACTACACGAACGTACTGGTAGCCATCTTCGTGCCGTTGCTCGTGCTGGCGCTCATCGCTGTCGTCATCGTCATCATGCGGCGTCGCAACATGGCGCCGTTCTACATGACCAAGGAGATGCGACACAAGGACGATGACATGTCTTTGCGCGACTCGATCATCGAGACTAGCCGGCCGGTGAAGCTGAAGGACTTCCTGGAGCACTACCGCTTCATGTCGGCCGACTCGGACATCCGCTTCTCGGAGGAGTACGAGGACCTGAAGCAGGTGGGCCGTGACCAGCCGTGCACTTTCGCCGATCTGCCGTGTAACCGGCCCAAGAACCGCTTCACCAACATCCTACCGTACGATCACTCCCGCGTCAAGCTGCAGCCCACTGACGACGAGGAGGGTAGCGACTACATCAACGCCAACTACGTGCCGGGCTACACGTCTCCGCGTGAATTCATCGTCACCCAGGGACCTCTGCACTCGACGCGCGACGACTTCTGGCGCATGGTGTGGGAGTCCAACTCGCGCGCGATCGTGATGCTGACGCGTTGTGTGGAGAAGGGCCGTGAAAAGTGCGACCACTACTGGCCGTACGACATGCAGCCGCAGTACTATGGCGAGATCCAGGTGGTGGTGCTCAACCAGAGTCAGTTCCCCGACTGGACTGTGTCAGAGTTCAAGGTGATGCGCGGTGACAGCTCGCGCGTCGTGCGGCACTTCCACTTCACCACGTGGCCAGATTTCGGCGTTCCGGAGCCGGCGCAGGTGAGTCCCTCGAGAGAGGAGTCTGGGGAGGAGAGAGGGACTGGACAGGGCTGGATGGTGACTGTGTATCTGTGTGTGTGATAGTGAGGTCTTAATTGCCGTATCCGATTTCCTAATGTTGTACGACTGTCGTGTAAGTTTGAGCAACAAACCCTTCGTGGTCAGTGGACTGGGTGTGTACAGCAATGTTCCAATGTTGCAACCTTCTCCAAGTAGATGTAACATCTTGCAGCCGGCAGCCATAGCATGCTTCTGATTTAATCTTTATGCGACCTCGATTATTCCTTTGTCTTCAGAGTTCTCGCGTCAATCACATGAGGGCAGGTGAGATGTCAGTAGACGTGGATGAGTATGGTTCCAGTAATAGCAGACCAGCAGCACCCAGGACCAGGATCCATTGATCCTGGGGATCTGTTGCTGGGGCCTCGGCGTGGTATGCATTAGTGGTGCTTTGTCACGTGCCCGGCACTTGTCAAAAAAATATTTATTCCAACTAGGATGAGGCTGATTGTTTACTTTTCCGGAATTCCGGGTCGTAACATGTCACATATTATTTGCTGTGTCATATGGACGGTGAGCTCTGGCATCTGTCACGATCTCAAGGGGCTGCTGAATATTCCAGCACGTCAACAATATCATCAGCTGTGTGCCATGGCCCATGACAAATTGATTGAGCTTATCATGTGGGTCCATCAAATAAGCAGTACCTACCTCATAATTCTTTGAACCTCTGTTTCGGGCCTTCGCTTGGCTTCACGTTGAGTATTGACTGAGGTTTCCATTCCCCTGTTTAGGGTCGCACTCGGAAGTCCTTCTCCCTTGTCGCTAGAACCCAGCGCGGTCGGAATCCATAGCGTTGTCTACTGTTGTCGTTGTGGTCCGACTGAAAGTAGGGGAGAGTGGGGAAAGATGCCCAGGGTTTTGCTATGTCATATATTATTCGAAAATGACGGTGGGAAAGCAAAAACTTGGAGTTTCAACGGAAGCCAACATCATTTTTCTCCAAAAATATCACACTTTCGTGCCTGAAATATCATAACTTTTTTTGCTATTAAGCATTTTCCTGAAGAAGTGAAAGGGGGCATCTTACCCCACAGGGTGGGAAAGACGCCCCCTGACGTTGGGAAAGATGCCCCCTGTACTATAAGTGACATAAATGGGCACGTGAATCGCCTGAACGAATCAGTAGTCCCTTCGAGCCTGCAGTAGACACCAAACGTCATCATAAGGGCCCTCAAAAGTAGTCGTAAGGGCTTCAGAGGTCATCGTTAGGGCCATCATAGTCCAGCGCGGCCAAACAAGCCTCCATGGGTCATGGTGGCGTTCGGAGACCACTGTGGGGCTCTTATAGGTCTTCATGATGTTTGAGGGCCCTCGAGCCCATCGTGGGGACCTCCGATGCCAGCGCGGCCCGTGGGGCCAACGTGGGAGCCCTCAAAGGATGTCTTGAGGGGCCCTGGAGCCAATAATGGGGCCCACAGAGGCCGTCGTGAGGGCTCTCAGAGTCAGATGCCGCCCAAAAAGTCGCTATGTGGGCCGAGAGACCGGCATGGGGAGCACCCGACCGTACTGGACTCTCAATAGTCCCAGATCGGATTTTGTCTACATCACAAGTATGTAATAAATGATTTGACGGGCTGTTTGAAGGACAGCCTACGGATTTAGGGGGGCGTCTTTCCCCATCAGGACAGGGGGCATCTTACCCCAAGGTACCGAAGTAACATTAAATCAGTACAATTTGTTAGCCATAAAACTACACCCTGAAACAAACTGTTTGGGACACAGTACACGGAAGCTAATGTATCACGACTATAGCGAGGGACGCAAAAATTATTTACCTTCTTTGATATTTACAATGTTCTGACCTCAAAATATTTTTTGAAAGCAGCAAATAAAAAACATGCAATCATCAGCCAGCCATTGCCCAACTGAGCTTCGCAATTTTTTGTGCAGTTAACAAGGCAGGCTTCCGCTTTACGCTAAGAACATTAATTTCCAGGTCCGATTCTTTGTTTCGCCGCTAGAGGGGGTGGGGCGTCTTTCCCACCCTGGGCATCTTACCCCACTCTCCCCTACGCGTCACTCGCCAGATGTTCGTCCGGCGACTCAGAGCCAGGCTCGGTACTTGTCCGATGTGGCTGTGTCGTTTCCCGCATTCAGAGAAACTCAGGACAGCGGAACCTCAAGCCAGCCTCGAGCCACGAACTTCCACTATTACATATGTGCTCACTTTCTCAGTTCCGCGTCAGTCCCTTTGTCTCCCCCTGCACTGCTCAGTGCTGCTGAGGTCACTTCTCCGTTGCTCTAACTATATGTATTACATCACTACATCACCACATCTGTAGCTCAGTCAATCTGTGGCACACGGCTGGGCTGGCTTCACTGCTTAATTAGGATACCTAATAAGTGAGCACGTCAAATCACTGGAGATTGTAATGATTGCAGGCACTGCCTCTCGATTCGAGGTTTCACTAGATCGGCTATAGGGGCATTCCACGTCAAATCAAACACCGAAATCCGTCATCCCCTTCGATTTTTCTAAAAATTTGTAGGCAGACTGGGCATGGTTCAAAACTGAGTTACGTATAATATTTTCGAAATTTGGTAACGTATCGCTGAGATATAGGTCATCGAATATAGCCAAAAATGCCAAACATCAATTTTTTAAATGTCTATAACTCTGGTTCCTGTTCCGGTATCAAAATGATATTAACAGGGTCTTGTAGGCAATTGATAAGGCTTTGATTCTTAATTATGAAATTAAATTGAAGTGACCCTGAAATGCATTTGACCTTGAATTAAAACAGAAAAATTCAAATAGCAAAAAACACGCCACCTTCGATTTGGGTAATTTTTACATATTATGTCCGTCACAATGTTCCTAACCATCTGTGAAAAAATTGGAGTGGGCCATTCATAACTTTTGCGGCAAACGCCGTTTTCATGCATCAACATCACGCAACCGCGCGTGACCTTGAAAGACAGTCCGTGTTGGTGTGTGAAAAAAATCCCTGTGTGGGGCGAAACTGCCGAGTGTCTGGCCCTTCCAATTCATTGTGAAGGCTACAGAGCATAGATGACATAAATTTCAGCTTGAATTATATCATCGAACCTGATTCCTTATCATGTAATACGAGAAGTAGTAGCCTTTGCTCATATTAATGTTCAAATAATGCACAAAATTGGATATAATATTAAAATAATACTGATATTTCGCCTTGCGGCATCATCAGAGTTCCTTATCCCTTAAACATTGACGACAGAATGGTGCACTGAAGTCACAGTGAGTAAGAACGAACTTACGGAAAAGACTTGCATCACGACGATGAGCAGAACTAATGACTCTTCTACTCTCTGTGAGAATCAAGACATGCTTGCTTGTGTACACTTTCTGAAATGAATGATTGCTGATTAGTGATATCCCAAACTCTGCGAGAATGGAAATGCATAGTCATCGTAGTCAAGCATTCACGTTCCATAGTAAAAGTGTCTCAGGCAAACGGCATTTTGCGGTGAATTTTGAGCCGTGTGGAAATGCATCATGAAGTAAATTCAACGAAAACATTATCACGCAACGATATCTTTACGTCTTTTTATCTTCACTATACGAAAGAACATACATTTTTGAGTATGTATGGGGAATTTCTAGTTAATCCAATAATAAATATGGCAGTTAGAAGCCTGCTAAGAGTAACATGTCGCCGGCTGAGGCGGGATCGGCCGACGCGGGAAACGCAACAATCACAATTTTGTGTTTACACGTTCATATTTCAACTGTTTACCAACCGATTTTCAAACTTCTTTCACCATAAGATTGCCTGTACATTTTTCAGTCTTCTCACAAAATTTGACGCGAATCGAACGTATTCAGCGGTAAGGAGCGCGATGTAAAGACGGAACCGTTCCGTTCCGTCCCGGCACAGTCTACAATTCAGGCGGCGCGTAGCGGTCAGCGCCGGCTGCCGAGTTGCCGCGACGCCGCGGCGACAGGATGTTCACTTTACACCGCTATTACTAGAACAGTTGTGAACCGATTTTCTTATTGCTTGTACGATGAGATGTGCAATTCAATTCTGGACAGGTAGCCATAATTAATTTCGTAATAATATTATGAGATATTGGCGAAAAACAGGAGGGGTGGGGCGAAATTCGCTCTTCCCCCTCCACTGCGCGTGCTAACATACGTTTGCATATGTGCCATTTTCTTCAAAACTTATGAATGGCCCACTCTAATTTTTTCACAGGTTGTTAAGAATATGGTAGGCAATAAAATATATAAAAATGAGCCAAATCGAAGGTGGCGTGTTTTTTGCTATTTCAATTTTTGTGCTTAAGAACAGAGTTAAGCAAGTTTCAAGGTCATATATTTAAGTAGGTGCAATTCTAAACAAATGCTTAAAAAATACCTAAACAGTAAGGTTTATTTCATTCAAATCAAACAAGTACAACCAAAGTTATGGTCGTTCAAAAATATAAAGATGCAACATTTTGTAAAAATTGGATGCCCTATATTTAGAAGACCTGTGGTCAGAATGTGCAAAAAACATCAATGTAATGTCCAGGGCGACACAGGAACTCGCTCACAAATTTATAATGAAATCGCTGATGGTAAGGTGCAAAACAGCCGATTTTTGTTCGATTTGACGTGGAATGCCCCTATAGTCATTTCATACCATGCCATACCTCGACAGGATCGCTTTCTTGGTGGTCAATACTTGATGGTTTTCTGCTCTCAAGCCGTCGTTTCTACTAAAAAGCCTCAAATAAGACCATGACTGTGAAAGTTGCTCAGTGTATCTAAAATGACCAACTCATTTGTATCATTTCACCCGACCACCTTTCATTGGCCTTCCACTAGTTCACGCTTGATTGGCCTCGTGAGAAGCGTGTGTTTAGCATATCTTTTCCATTCCCGGGCTCCGTTTCACAGCAGTGTTTGTCCGTGACCATTGCCTTATCTCACGGGCTAGCTGAGTTGGATTTGTTCGCTTTTGCTGTAGTTTGGTTTCCATTAACCGGCAAGATAAATGTATGGCACGTATTTGCGTTGAAATGCTCATTACATCTCAAATAGATATCAGTGAGGTAATTGAATGTATTGACTCAAATACACTTAAGCCGTACATTTACCATGCATGTTACAAAATGGCACGCCGTTTACTGTAATTGGGCCGAGATTCACCAATCGTCAAAGTCTTCACTAGTTCATCTGTGATGTGTGTCCTGTCGGTGATGTCCTCATCTGCACAGACCGGGCTGACGGGGTAGACCGTTTGCTTGGCTTCGGCCGTTCAGCGCCAGCCGCCAGCTGTCAGCCGTTCGGTCGTTACCACAGCGGCCCGTGCCTTTCGCCCGAGGGTGGCTGTGAAATCAGCGGCCGGCGGCCGAGTGCCGGCGGCCATAGGTGTGAGTCATCGAGCACATGACCCGCTGCCACAGACCTGGCACGGCCGCGGTTCCAAGAGCTGAGCGGAAGGACTCGTCGCTAGGCCCGCGAGTGCAGATTGCTGCAGATTAGCCCAAAAGTGCCCGGGCTGGCCGGATCTCGCGGCCAATCTGTGTGAATCTGGCCGCAGCGCCGTGTCGTACAATTTCTCTCAGCTATCCGCCCCAGCCCGCTCCGTCCGCTCGCCCTGTTTCAGCGGGTCAGTGGACCGGCGCGGCGGCAGCGCGCGCGGCCGGGCGCCGTTTGCAATGGAGCGGCGCGGCGCCGCCGGCGGGCCGACCTCGGCCCCGCTCCCATGGGTGCGCCGCCAGCGCTCAGCCGCGAGACTCCGCGGTCTCGGCACCGCCAAACGACAGGAGAGAGTCTGACGTGGAGTGCTTTCCGGAAATGAAACCAGTTCAGGGCTGTCGGCTGTGATTACGCTCGATTTGTCATGCCGCGACGAAGGTGAACAGAATAGCGAGAGGATGGATTTGGGAGTCGCACGTAAGGTGGCTGCGGAGTCGATGGATTTACGGCGACTCCGACTCCGACTCCGACTCCGGCTTTCAAAAACCAACTCTGACTCCGACTCCGACTCCGGGCAGAAATGTCGACTCCGATCGACTCCAACTCCCGACTCCGACTCCGCACACCTGGCAGGGCTGCGGAGTCGACAGATTTTCGGTGACTCCGACTCCGACTCCGGCTGGGGTTTCCAATATCCACTCCGACTCCGACTCCGACTCCGGTCACAACTGTCGACTCCGACCGACTCCGACTCCGACTCCGCAGCCCTGGGTGAAACATTCACGCCTGTTTGTTCGGTGAAGGCTGAATGCAGGGCTGTTGCTGTGTGCTTAGCGTGATTGTTTACTTAGTGACTGGTCAATAGCTGAGACTACAGCACCTCCCAACGGGTGTCTAGAGCGGTCCCGCTCGCCGCGGCCGTGGAATGGGCGCGCCGCGCCGCACGGGACAGCTGAGGGTGAGGGTGTGGTGTCCCAGAGTGGGGGCGAGTCCGGTGACCTCGGCGGAGCGGCGCGCAGCCCGCCTGGACAGTGGACACTGGACAGGCGTGACCTCGGCGGCCGGAGCTGCATCCGCCATCCGGCTGACGCCGACGCCGCCGCTGGATGGCCCGCCGATGCCCCCGGATCATCCGCTGATGTTGGTGACAGATGCGAGCCGATGAGGGTGGAGAGACGAGTCATCGTCAGATTCCGGACTCTGACGCCAGCTTCAGGCCCGGGTGCGACAGGCTGGTCCTGGCCGGCTACTTCGCCGTGAACATATCTGTCCTCAGGCGACTGGCGATTGCGTGATTTCGCTTCCATGACCTGATTATGAGTTAATGAACGGGTTGGACGGTCAGAAGCGATCAGAAACAGTGAAACAACCGCAATTAACCGCATTTTGCGCTACCAGACGATGTGTGATGCGTGACTGATGATCTCTAATTCGCCTGACATTCTGTGCGCGCTTATCACTTGAGCCAAACACGCATACCGACCACGCCCTGCGCACTTTGGCGTCCGGCATCTCTCGCGAGATCCATCACAAAAACTCTGAGGTGCCCGCCTCGACCTTGGTTCTGTCGGCCGTGGCGAGGGCGTCGGACCTCACTCCCAAAGACCGCCGTCCCGTCCCTCCTGCGGGGCTCCAATTGGGCCATTGTGGCCCCGAGAGATCAGCCCGGTGTCCTGGATGATGACGGCGATAAGGAGCATTGTTCGTCTAATGTCGCCACACCGCTCTCGAGTCTGAGTACAATGACCGGCACATCCGAGCTTTGTAGACAGCTCGGATCCTCCTAGTCCAGTTCATAATTACGGTAAGGAGTGTCTGCTACAGGCTGTAAACAGGACTTAGATATGACTGTGTTCTTTCGTTTTGTTTTGTCGACCTCTGTCCGTGTACCACCTGCCGGGTCCGCTGAGAGTGGCCGACCGCCGACCAGTGTGCCGCCGTGACCCTGACCGAGGGCCGGCCCCGACACGGTGAGGCCCTCGCCCTGTGACGTCACAGTGAACCTGTCGAGGCCGGTCACGAGAGGGGCTCCGCTCATGTCAGGATGGTGGGCGGATGATACGGGCCTCTCCGGTGGTAGTTCCCCATCAATCCTGCTTGGTACGGGGAGGGACAGAAGGGCTCGGAATAGAGTTTGTAGACTGGCTTGAGGCCTCAACTTCGATCGCATGGGAGTCCATTTTTTGCCGCTGAAAAGTAAAACCGAATCCGTTGCTCGACATGTCTCCGACTACTACCTTTTGTTTCGATCCGGACGGCCTTCCAGTGTCAATGTCGCTCTTATTCTTTGTTCGACGAGAATTGAATCAATGAAAACTGTTCACACATTGAAATATCAAATTATCCCTATTCCCCGTCACTATCACCTGCCCACGACCGGGTGGCACGTTCCGTCGAGTTCAGCCTGCCTCTGCCCATACAGAGCCACTCGAACCCCGAACGGCGGGCGAGGGCGGCGGAACCAGCAGACCGGTTCACCGAGGTGCGTGGCTCAGAACCGATCGATCACATCCGGCTACTGGCAGCGCCCGCTCACGTGAGCTGCTCGGTCTCTGTGTCTCTGCTCAGCTCCGGCTCTCCTTGTGCGGCGGCCAGCCGGCGCGGTCGATCGGGGGTGACTGGTCCCGGTTTTTGTTCTCGTAACGCCGCTGTTCTGTCTGAGTCAGATGCCGGTGGTGCGCTACCGGAGACAGCGAGCAGCGCGTGACTGGAGGATTTCCTCCCGGTCAGAAATGTGGTTGCAGCGTGCAACCGTTCGGCGCCACCGCCAACTTCCTCTGTCTCTGGAGTTTATCGTCAGGACGATCGATTGACATAAACTTCGGTTTTGGCATTAACTACAAACATTCGGTCTGTTTTTTTTTTTTTTGCCTCAACCCGTGTCCGGGTAATCTGTTTTATCGCGTAGGTATTCAATGACGGAAGCTGGCCTGCCGCTGTTGTATTTACTGTCGCCTGGATTTTCCTTCAGTATTAAAAACAAAGATAGTGGCATTTGAATGCGTCCTCGAATCTTTATCAGTCGAAGTTTGTCATACGTTAAACTTGTTTGTTGTCGCTGCATGTGAACGCCAGTTTCGAATTCGTGGTAGATTCGTTAATATTTGTTGCACTGGATGGAGCTCTCGCTGTTTTGACAAGCTCTCTTCCATATGCAGTAGTTTTACGAATAGCCATTGCGGCCACACATTCGTCCACCGCTATCGAACGTTGATTGAGTTGCGGCAGTTGCTTTAGTATGTGACTTGGCAATACGCAACTGTGCTAAAATCAAACTGCTCAACCACCCGTTATATTTGCGCCTGTATTTCAACGTTCTTCCCTCGTGCGCACCCTTCCACCTCCCATTCCCTCGCTGCTGTTCTCCCCTGGCTCCTCGGCCGCAGGGGCGCTGTTTACAGGTGGCCACACCACTCGCCCTCCTCAGCCGGCGGCTCGCCCGTGCCGGCTCTCCCCCGGCTCGCCCGCGCCGGCTCTCCGGCCGCCGGCCGCGGCCACCCCGTCATTAGCGGCTGCCGCAATGGCGGCCGCGGCGACTGGCGAAAAACCGGTCCGCCGGCCCGGTCCGCGGCTGCCGGCGCATGCGCGTGACGGATCGAGACAGCCCGTTAGCTCGCGTACCGGTCACCTGCGGCTGGAGGCGGCGAGGGAGGCTGACGAGCGCGTCACCACCCGCTCCGCCGGTGGCACAGGCCTGTGACGCGCACCTGCCCTGTCGGGCCGACCCGCCGCCGACTGCGGCGCGTGCTGTGGGTTTCGTGCGCCGCTCGCGTTCATTGTTGCGCTGGCCGGTCACGGTCCTCCCTCGCCCACTGTTAGTTGGCAATGAACACTGAACACTGAACGGGCGACTGGTATTGTGTGGTAACGCGGCGGTGGATGGGGTCCGTTGCAGTCCCCTGTTCGGCGCTCCGTATCCTAGCGGGCGTGCAGTATGCAGTCATGAATATGATTATGATGACATAATCCTACTGCCCGGGGTGACAGCACCTTCCGTGTGCACTGTGCACGATTGTTGAATCGGTGCGTCGACAGGCTGGTCTGACAGCAGGCCCTTTTGTTTATTCTTTCTGCGCATGGGTATAGAACAGCTAGCCTCAGTGCGTTTTGTTGTTGTAGCTGTGGGTATTCTGTATTGTTCCGACCTTGTCGGTGGCTAATAAATCAGCTATAAAATATGGGCTGCGATGACTTCCGGAATCCATGCGCCTCGGAAACCCACATATTACCATCATAACGAATCAAACATGGGAGCATGTGCTGTCATACCTTGTCTGTCTCTGTGTCCACCGTACTGTCCCCACTGTTGGCCCTCCCCAAAGGTGTCGATTATCCCTCCCTCTCTGACCCCTCCCCGCCCGTCTGTCTCCAGGTTCTGGTGCGGTTCGTGCGCGCATTCCGTGAGCGCGTGCCCTACGACCAGAAGCCCATCATCACGCACTGCAGCGCGGGTGTGGGCCGGTCGGGCACCTTCATCGCCCTGGACCGGGCCATCCAGCACATCCGCAAGTACGACTACATCGACATCTTCGGCATGGTGTACGACATGCGCAAGGAGCGAGTGCTGATGGTGCAGACGGAGGTGCAGTACATCTGCATCCACACCTGTCTCAAGGTGGTGCTCGAGGGCAAGGAGAACGATGATTTGTCGATGCGTGAGACGCATACGAACATGGCCTATGATGATGACGAGGGGATCGCCGAGTCGGGGATGTGAGTGGTGACCCCGTGACGTCAGTAAGTGGGTGAACGCGAAGAGAAGCGACTCCGGCGAGTGGTGGTGACGAGACGGCTGATCGCCAGTGTTTTGGGACCAATGGTGGGGAAAGTGCGCCCGTCGCGGCCGGGCCTTCCCAGGTGCGTGGCTTTCACAGCGCGGTGGCGTGCGGCGGCCAGCCCTGCTGTGGTGACGTATTTATGAACGGGACCGAGTGAATGTTCAGTGTCTCGTGAAGACAGTACAAGTGTTCATAGGTCTGAGCGCTGTAGAGGCGGGCTAGGTCAGTGTTGAGTGAGTTCCTGTCAGTGGAACGTTACCCAGTGACAGTGTATTTCAACCGCGTGGGCTCCAGCGCCCGTGTGGATATTATATGAGATCTTGTTGCCTATGAGAAGTACTTATATACCCGCATTTCGTCCCCTCCCGATGTGATACTTACACTTTACATCTTTTCACAAATGACGGTACTTACTATTGATATGCATTTTACCAGCGAGTGTTGTGCTTTGTTGCGTCGTTAGTGGAGACAGCCGTTATCCGAGGAGCCTCTTAGCGCCGCCGTCGCAAACCGATCGTGCCGTCCATCGTTCCGAATGAACACTGATCTGCCCGTGGATCTGATAGGAGCCGCCTTTGTTGCTCGGCGCCGAGAGCGGCGCCGTGTACCCGTTTCACACTCCCTCTCGCCCCTGGGTCGTAGAGGTAGTTTTGTAATAAATATTTTTACCTTTGCGGTGGCGTGTGTCCCAGCGCTGGCATCTGGTGGTGATATGATACAGGGACGGGGACTGTTGCCACCGCAGATGGTTGGCCGCTGGACTTGGCGGCGCGTGTGTCTGTGTTGTGTGTCGCTCGCCGGGCGGCCGCTGCTGCGTCGCAGTCACTGACGCGTGGGCCGCCGGTGGCAGGGGCGGCGCCAGGCCGTTACGAGGGCGGACCGAAGGTCGCTCGCCGACAGGGGCGCCGCCAGCGGAGCTGTGGAGCGCGGAACGCGGAGCGGCCAGCACAGCAGCGCTGCGAGTGCGGTGATGTCAGTCGATACGTGACCGGACCGGGTGTTCCGCCGTCCGGCCGGCCGACTGTCGGGTGTGGGTGACAGGCGGACACGGGGACGGGCCGGTAGAGCTTCAGCAGCGCGGCAGCCTCCGCGACCAAACAGCCGACGCCCTTGAACCGGTGCCATGGGTTATGAGCGCGGCGGTGGGCCCAGTTGGCACCCACCAGTGCTGTAAAATGCGGCAACACCGCCCGCGTTATCGTGAAAGAAATCAATGCAGGCAGTTGGCCAGTGAGATCGCGCACCGTTTCATGGTTACGGTTGGTGAAAGCAGATAGATATCAGCATAGAGGTTAACCTTTCATTTGTCGGTAGCTTGCATCACGAGTCACGACTGCATTAATTTCTAAGAGCGTCCGATGCAAACTGATGTAAGAGTGAAACAGCGCCAGGTGCATTGGATTTGGAACTCTGCAGTCTGCAACCCACGTCGCTGGTTGGTGGTATCCCCGCCTCGTGTTCACTGACCCATACAAAAGTTACATTTTCGAGTGCAAGCGTGCTTGCTTAATTTTGTGAACGTCATAGGTCTGCCGTCCGCGGTCTATTGTGACTGGGTACGTGGCCTGTGGCCTGCTATATGGCCTATGACTGGCTACGTGGCCTGTGACTGGCTATGTGGCCTGTGGCCTGCTACATGGCCTGTGACCAGCTATGTTGATCTGGCAGGATGCGCAGTCACTAACCCGCTTCCTGTATGAGATCGCGTCAGTCGGCGCCGTCGCCGCCACGGTTTCCGGCTCTGAGATCAGCTGCACCGGCCGGCGGGTGGGTTTGTTTGTGCAGAATCCGCGGCGGCGCTGCGACTGCCGCCAAACTCCTGTCAGCTCCGAGTCTCTGGGCTGGCTCTGTCGGATTCTGACCCAGCTCTGGGGGCTGCCGACCTGACCCCGCCCCTTCCTCCCCCGCCCCCGATCGTCCAAACATCGGAGAATCTCGGGACTCCACGGCTTTGATCTAGGCGTCCTGGCGGCGGCAGCGGCGGCGGCTAATGGTCCTGTCGTGACCGGGCTCGGCGCTCACCGCAGGGCGTGGTCGGCCGGCGCCGTCACGAGCCACCTTGGCAGCCGGTCATATGGAACCGACGGCGGGGGGCGGCCGTGAGACTTATCGCGATTTCACACCGGCGGCCGCCGGCGGGCCAAATTCCTTCGCCGCGTGCATGGGGCATTGCGACACCGGTATTTATAATAACAGATTAGCACAAATGCTTGCCTGTCTGAGATAAGGTTCACTTCGGTTGCCAAACCTCCTGAGATATCGAAATGCAGATCAAAGAAACAAACGGCATTTTCTATCTCGAACATTCCTCACCTACGTAGTAAATTTTGCTGACTTAGGTAGGAACAACTCAGCTGCGCAGTTCTCATGTGAGAATCTAGGAGCTAGCTATTTGCAGCGGCGGATTTCGCTGCTGGGCGTAAGGAGTAGCTTTGGCAACTAAGCCTGAACGACCTCTGGCCCACATGTCAGCCGCACTGTGTAGGAAAATATTGCTTACACGACAGCCCGCTCTCTCAGATAGTGTTTGCCTGGGTTGTATTACATCGTGACATGAGTTTCACGGGAACGAGGAAGCTGATCGCATGGAATGTGCCTTATCGGATGCATGTTAAAAGTTTGAATTTATCGTGATATGTGTATCGCATTCGATTTGTTTCTTCCGTAACATTAATTACCGTAAACCGGGGTGAGTTGATATGGATTTTGAGGTTATTCTAGATTTCTTTAAAAGCGACATTTATTTACGGAATTATTTTTGTGCCAGTTTCATGGCACATGCCTTGGGAAGGCAATCAGCAAAAATGAATAAAAAATGTATATATTAAGCCCCTTTTTTAAAACGCCAAAGTTCATATCAACTCACCACCCCCCAGGGGGTGAGTTGATATGATTTTGGATTTTTCAAAATTTATCGGCTAAAGAAGCTCAGAGGTGAGTTGATAAAATGCCAGTGTTTAAAAAAAGGATGAGAGAACACATCCTGAATGAAACCATTAGAAAAATGATAGTAGTTTGGCAGCAGACCTCGCATTCATGAAAACGCAATCATGTCCAACAGAGCGCTATCAAAATTGCTTGATTTTAGCAGCATCATTTTTTCGCTTTATGATGCTTAGTTTTACTTAGAACATTCTGAACATGGCTAGTCACGTGTCCTCAAGCCAACGGTATCAAAACTGGCAATATTTTTTGGAATTACAAGTGTATTTTCTTGTAATTACAACACATTGTCAGTTGCGGGTCAAGGTTGATATGCCTCTGACAGAAATAATGGATTGAAATGAAAGAATACATATACTTCTGAGCTTTTGTGGACTGGTAGTCAACAAAATATTTATGAAGTGAAGTGAAGCGAATCTAATTCGGACTGTATTCTGTCAGTTGAAATAAGCGACATAAAACAGAATTCGGCATCAAAAGCCAAAATTAACCCTCGCACTTATAGGCGGGCGAACGGACCACCTCGGCTTTTCGCACATAACTCGCGCAAAAAGCGGCCGATCGCGACGAAACTTTCAGTGCCTCTCGAGTTTATCAATTTTACACATGTTCTTAAGATTTCATGACCCTGACTCAAATGGTTTTTGACTTGTGACCTGATTCTCGAGACCATGCTTGGCCGGAATCGCGATTTGGCGTAGTCGACTCACATTATCCGCGCATTTCCAGTCTTTTTGTGATTGTAACGTCCAAACATGTAAATGATGTTGGTCCCATGCAGTATTGTGCAGTATATGCAGTATATCAAGGTCACCTGAAGGTCAGGTCAGGTCATTGACCTTTGGTGACCTCGGCTCACCTTTGGAGTTTTACATGTTTCTAGGGTAGTTTTTTCGGGCCGATGTCGAATTTAACATGCATTTGATCATTTACGAAGTAGTTTTAGTGCCTTCGTAACATGTTACGACACCGTCAGTGGTAGTTGACACTTGACACTCCCTATGGATAGCCGGCAGGACACCTACTGGTTGACCTGACCTGACCTGACCTGGCCTAAATGTACAAAGACACATGTGATCAAAACAAACATGACATTCGTGATCAGCAACAGCCAAAAAATAATAACCTCGCTTTACGAACTTCAAATAACCCCTTATTTTCCCGACTTCTGGGTAATTGACCTGGCCTGGAAGGTTAACCAATGACCTAGGACCTTAAAGTTGGTTATCATCGGCTTCCTCGCGTCTCGGGCAACACGCTCGTTTTTTCCTCGAAGCTCTAGCTCCACCAGGGGCCAAACGACGATGGGATTCCAACGGCCCCCCCCTATACGTTAAACGCTGGCAAAACACGAATACGGGCGAGGGCTAAAACACCAGTCAATTTCTTTATATTGTTTGTTCCATTTCATTTTGTCACTCATTCTCGGTTAGCAACTGCCAAGCAGGAAAACTAATCAGTTTCACGAGATCAGAATTCCCGCGCTGTTAGCCATACAGAAACGACAGTTCTGTCATTTTCGAAACCACGAATAATTATAACGTTTTTTTTTATCTGTATGTACATAGGTGTTCTATAGTGTCCCTTTGTAGCTTGTAGGGAGCCATCTTGAGACTTGACAGGGAGTTGTGCTGTGCCTTTTGCATGTTAGGTATGTCCACAGAAAAAAAACTTTGGGGTCACTGATGTTAGTTGTCGGACCTTCGTCCCCGTCTTGAGTTGAGAATTGAGATGTTAGTTTCAAACGTTTCGGCCAGTTACTCTCCGGCCGTCGTCACTCGTCAGGTGCTCTTTGACCCTCAGAAGGACCTGGATGTTGGTGGCGTTGCGCCGTACGTGTCCACCGTTCGAAAGCTCCTGTAGTCGGCGGGAATCGAACTCGGGTTTCCCCGGTGATGGTCCACGGTTCTAACCACTCCACTATCGAGGCAGATTTGACTATGGCCGGAGAAGTTACTTGCTGAAACGTTGTGAAACTAACATCTCAACTCAAGACGGGGACGAAAGTCCGAGGCGACAACTAACATCAGTGATACTAACAGACCTCGTCTCAAGCATTCAGAAAAAAAAAAACTTAAGCTTTTGGGGGTTGATGGAATGATGTGGGGAGAGAAAAGGAGAAGAGTTGGTCTAATTGACTTTGTCTTACTTGCAGACCCATATTTCATGCTAATTTGCATGCATACCAGCCTGGTGTCAGCTTTTATCATGCATATCAACTCACCACTTGATGGCATATCAACTCACCACCTGTCACTTTTCTTAAAATTATAAAAAAGCGTTGTTATAGGTGAAACCCAAAACTACCTGGGATCAACAGTAAATTGATGGTAGTTTCTTTCCCAGTGCATGTTGTTCCATGAATATCCACCGTCTTTGCTGTAGGGTGGGGACTTTTCCTTAGTTTCAAAATCAGAAGAAAAAAAGGACTTTGAAAAAAGTAATGTGTTAAGAAGGTACTGCACCACATGCATGCCTTTCTCAGCTATATGCATCACTTATTGGTTGCTTCACTTCACAGAAAAATAAAACTAAAAATTGGTTTACAAATGGATGAGCAGCACACATTTTAACATTTTTCGAGCAATTTATATCAACTCACCACCCCATATCAACTCACCCCGGTTTACGGTACGTAAATATAGATACGTTTTAAACCGAAAGAAATAGGGGAAAGTGGGGTAAGACGGTCAGGGTAGGTAAGACGGGCACCCCTTCTGCAGACCAAACCA